AGCGCGAAAGCCGCAAGAGCAGCCGCAAGAGCAGCAGCAGCTCAGGGGCTCGCAAGCAAAGCGGCAGCGAGACCGAAGCACCACAGCAAGGCAAGCAAGGCCAAGGCAAGCAAGGCCAAGGCAAGCAAGGCGAGGAAGCACTGGGCCGACTCGTCGGATGACAACACTGGGCACTCGGAGCAGCGCAGCCAGGGCTTTTGACCCTTTTTTTTTGTCCGGGCAAGAGACCCGACGGAGTGATTGAGATTGAGATAAAAAATATTCAGCAAAGAATGTAATATTATATTGATATATATATATATATTTATTAATTTTTAGAGCTTTTTATATTTGAGTTGAAGACTACATTATTGAGATGTATATATATACATACATATGAATTGGATTTTTATTTTAAGACTGATATTCAACAAAGAATGTGATTTGTATCTAAAGAATGTAATATTATATTGATATATATATATATATTTATTAATTTTTAGAGCTTTTTATATTTGAGTTGAAGACTACATTATTGAGATGTATACATATACATACATATAAATTGAATTTTTGTTTTTTAGACTCAGATTTAACAAAGAATGTGATCTGTATCTAAAGCTTATTATATTATATTTATATATATATATTTATTAATTTTTAGAGCTTTTTATATTTGAGTTGAAGACTACATTATTGAGATGTATATATATACATACATATAAATTGAATTTTTGTTTGATAAACCAACCCTAAACCCACCCCAAACCAATCCTAAACCCAGCCCAAACCCACCCTACACCCACCTTAAACCAACCCTGAGCCAACCCTAAACCCACCCTAAACCCACCTTAAACCCACCCCAAACCAGCCCTGAACCAACCCTAAACCAACCCTAAACCCACCCTAAACCAACCCTAAACCCACCCTAAACCCACCCCAAACCCACCCGAAGCCAGCCCTAAACCAGCCCTACACCAGCCCTAAACCCACCCTAAACCCAACCCTAAACCAACCCTAAACCAACCCTGAACCCACCCTAAACCCACCCTAAATCTAAATGGGCCCTAAACATCCCTAAGCCAACCCTAGAGCCCCAAACCACAAGATCTGCAGTGTAAGCCTCTACAAAAGGGAAACTGGAAAAAATACACCAAACTACTGGAAAACAATTCCCTGAAAGACAAAACCACCGAATAGTTGCTGGATTTTGTTGAGAGAGACAGAGAGAGAGAGAGGAACATGCACTGGTTTTGGTTCTATTGATAGACGCCCATGGACATCCCCATTCTCGGTGTTCCTCAGAAGGTCACTGGTGAAGTGGTGGTGGAAAATAAGGCCTCTTTCCGTGATACCTCCGGAAATCTCCTGAGCAACACTGCAGGCATGGGCATGGGAATCCACTTGGGTATCACACATGGGGGCATCCGTTTTCCGCGATGGGTTTAGACGTGAACCCCCGATTCTTTGCAATCCTTTTCAATCGCCAGAATTTTGCCATTATTTTTCGCCATCTCATATCATTGGGGCGGAAATCCATTTGGTCCCCCCCCCCAAATGGGACCATTTTCCATAAGCTGTCAACCATCGCGCTCTTGGTAAGCTTTCACCATCGCTACAAGGGAACCACCCCCTTTCATTCCAATTCAGTTTATGAACAACTGAACAACCACAAGCGCCTCAACGACACCATCTGTCAATCACAAGCGCTCCGATATCAGGACGAGGCCAACGAGTCAGTGGCCTGTGCCTTCTACAACGAGACCACCTTCCGGTGGTCCACAGCAGGAGTCAGGCGCCAGAGGGTCGCGGGGGCCGGAGTTCGATCTCGCACTTCGGCGGATTCTCACGGGAAGGCGTCTGGAACGTTTTTTTTCAAGACGTCCATGAATGCGATTGCAGTTTGAGGGGTTCGCCAATTGCGTTCGTTTGTTTCTTCCGAACCACCATTTGGAGGGTCTTAGTTTTCGCTGGAGTCGTTGAACACGACCCCGCGGAATATTGTTATTTGGGGGGTTTGTTGGGATGGGGTGGGGTGGGACGGGGCGGGGCGCGGCAACGGTGATGCTCGCGGGACTGCAGCGCTTTGGCAGAGTGTGTGTGTGGGGCGGGGTGGCGTGGGTCGATAATTACAGGTTTTGTTTGACGCATCGTGACAAAGCCACACACCACGATCAATCGCCAGTCGGCAGGGATCCACTTCTTTTGGGGTGGGGTGGGGAACGGCTGCATGAGTGCCCGCTTTGGGATTGCGTGTGTGATGCCCAACACAGGCGCAACCAGTGTGGGTTGCGGTTGGTGGTCCGTGCCAAGTTTTGAGCCGGCTTCCACAATGAGTCCATGCAACCTTGACCCCAGGAAACGTTGTTTTTGGGAACCCCTCGCAGTTTGTCATTGTTTTCCCAGGACGAGCGTCGATTAACCAGGACGAGCGTTACAGTGCCAAACCCGAAAAGGCGCGGGGTCAGATTCAACGTCTCCTCCTAGTTTTCTGAGAGGGCTTGAAAGGGACACCACAGGGAAGCGGCGACCATGGCGGGCAGTGCAACCAGTCGTTCGACACTTGTAAGGAGGTTCTTCTTGCCTCTTTTCAAGTGAACACGGCCCTTGATTTGTAGAGTTGGCCAGTGAATCTGGATTCCTGGTAGGCACTCTCTGGTTTGGGCTGAAAGCTAAGGAGCAAGCATCACTGTAGCTTCCAACCGACTCACTGGAAGTGTAGAAGCCCTCAATGGTCCCTTTGTTTGGCTGCTCCTTGCTTGTCTCCCACCAAGCAGAATGTTCGTAGGACTCAAACCTGTCCGGGTTTCTCGTCAAGTCCTCGGGTTTTCCCCCGACTACGACCCTAAGGCCTTGCTAAAGCCTTGTGGTGACGTTCTTATAAGGGCCTTGTTATTCGGGCGGGTATGAGATGTTGACGGTCCGAGCGCCTAGGCGGGTCACTCCCAACCTCAACGTCTCAGCTGGGACGTCGCTCAGCTCCACTTCCCCCGTTCTAGCATTGTGAGGGCCACAATATCAAACTGTATAACCACCCTGGTGGAACCAACAGTCACTGGGTTTTGGGCACCGCTCCTGTGGAGGCGAATGGGGGTATGGTCAGGGTTGCTCGATTCGAGCCGTTCCTAAAAGTGTCCCTTTTCCAACCGAGAAGGTCTCGTTCCCTTTTCAACCAAGAAGAACCCTTTCCATTTTTCCATCAAGAAGAACTGCTTTCCCCTTTCAACCAAGAAGAATTGGTCTCCTGTTTCAACGAGACAGACTCGTTCCGTTCCATTGTTCAGCCAAGATGCAGCCAAGAAGAACTGGTGTCCGTTTTGAACCAAGAAGGTCTCGTTCCCATTTCAACCAAGAAGAACTGGTTCCTCCTTCTCAACCAAGAAGAAATGGTTCCCTTTTCAACCAAGAAGAATTGGTCCCGTTTTCAACCAGGAAGAACTGGTTCCCCTCTCAACCCAGAATAATTGGTGTCCTTTTGCAACCAAGATGGTCTCGCTCCCTTTTCAACCACAAGAAGAACTTGTTCCCTTTTTCAACCAAGAAGGTCTTATTTCCCATTTCAACTGTTCCCTGTTTCAACCAAGAAGAATTGGTTCCCATTTTCAATCAAGAAGAACTGACGGCCCTTTTTCAGCCAATCATATTTGGTCTTGTTATTCAACCACTCAGAGCTGGTTTTCCTTTTCCCAACCACAGGAATAGAACTGGTTTAACCAAGAGCTGGTTCCCTTTTTCAACCAAGATCCTTTTTTGACCAAGAGGACTTGGTTCCCATGTCAACCAGAAGAAGTGGTTCCCTTTGTCAACCAAGAAGAACTGGTTCCCTTTTTCAACCAAGAAGAACTGCTTCCCTTTTTCAACCAAGAAGAACTGGTTCCCTTTTTCAACCAAGAAGAACTAACGGCCCATTTTCAGCCAATCATATTTGGTCTTGTTATTCAACCACTCAGAGCTGGTTTTCCTTTTCCCAACCACAGGAATAGAACTGGTTTAACCAAGAACTGGTTCCCTTGTCAACCAAGATCCTTTTTCAACCAAGATCCTTTTGTAACCAAGAGGACTTGGTTCCCATGTCAACCAGAAGAAGTGGTTCCCTTTGTCAACCAAGAAGAACTGCTTCCCTTTTTCAACCAAGAAGAACTGGTTCCCTTTTTCAACCAAGAAGAACTGACGGCCCTTTTACAGCCAATCATATTTGGTCTTGTTATTCAACCACTCAGAGCTGGTTTTCCTTTTCCCAACCACAGGAATAGAACTGGTTTAACCAAGAACTTGTTCCCTTTTTCAACCAATATCCTTTTTTAACAAACAGGACTTGGTTCCCATGTCCACCAGAAGAAGTTGTTCCCTTTTTCAACCAAGAAGAACTGGTTCCCTTTTTCAACCAAGAAGAACTGCTTCCCTTTTTCAACCAAGAAGAACTAGTTCCCTTTTTCAACCAAGAAGAACTGACGGCCCTTTTTCAGCCAATCATATTTGGTCTTGTTATTCAACCACTCAGAGCTGGTTTTCCTTTTCCCAACCACAGGAATAGAACTGGTTTACCCAAGAACTGGTTCCCTTTTTCAACCAAGATCCCTTTTTAACCAAGAGGACTTGGTTCCCATGTCAACCAGAAGAAGTGGTTCCCTTTGTCAACCAAGAAGAACTGGTTCCCTTTTTCAACCAAGAAGAACTGCTTCCCTTTTTCAACCAAGAAGAACTGGTTCCCTTTTTCAACCAAGAAGAACTGACGGCCCTTTTTCAGCCAATCATATTTGGTCTTGTTATTCAACCACTCAGAGCTGGTTTTCCTTTTCCCAACCACAGGAATAGAACTGGTTTAACCAAGGACTTCCCTTTTCAACCAAGATCCTTTTTTAACCAAGAGCCCATGTCAACCAGAAGAACTGGTTCCCTTTCTCAACCAAGAAGAACTGGTTCCCTTTTTCAACCAAGAAGAACTGCTTCCCTTTTTTAACCAAGAAGAACTGCTTCCCTTGTTCAACCAAGAAGAACTGGTTCCCTGTTTCATCCAAGACAAATGGGTTCCTTTTTCCAACCAGCACGCTGGTTGTCCCTTTGCCCAGCTGCCGAGGCCAGTGCCGCTGGTCTGCGAGACCGACCACTTGAGTATCTTCGGCGGGGTGTTGAACGTGCCGCAGGCCATGTCGGCGGCCCGTCGCCAGGGTGATGTCTCGAGGTGTGTTTCTGTACTGCTATTGGCTTGGATCTTTAGACTTTAACTTTTTGGTTTCTCCTCGTATTTCCTTTTAACCAGCAAACAGTTTCCGCACGTGGCGATTGAGAGAGCAACAAGTTAAACTTTTTGCTGGGGAATCTACAGCACCCAAGGTTTAAAGCAAGCATAGGTGTCCTTTTCATCGGCTAGTTGGGCTGGAAATAGATGGCTGTGGGTCAAAACCAATGGGATCCCATTTTGGGGTAGGTGCCCCACCCATTTTAGAACCTATCTTAGCGGTTGGATTGAGTCGGACGTTCACTGGGGGTACGATTTGGGTTTTGACCCACGGCCAGATGGGTCCCACCGCCTTAGATGGGTTTTGTATGTCATGAGACCCATCTGCTTTACCAATAGGACGCCTGTCGCAAGTGCCTTGATGGAATTCCGGGATGGGTTTCCTTGGCTTTTTCTCCTGAGGGTTCTTCCTTGGCCATCGCGACGTTGGATCAAGGGTGCACTCCAGAGACGCCCGCCACGCCATGCTTTCGTTCCCGAATAGTCGTCAACCAAATTGAGGTCAAAGTCGTAGTGGCTTGGCACCATCCATATGGGAGGACACCTTCTCCAACAAGGTCTACACACTGGAAATGTTGACCCAGCCAAGTACAGCCCGCCCCATACAATCGGCGGGGGTGGGGGGTTGGGTGGGTGGTGGGAGTGGGGGAAAGTCCCTCCAAATGTGATCTGATTCCCCACCAAACCCCAATCCCCCCCCCCTCTCCCCTGTCTATGAATTCGGGGTTCCCTTTGTTGACCATATCCCCAGACAATCTCTGGGCATGCTCTTTCCCCAGAAGGCTTGCATAAAGCACTTTTACATGGCCATGGGGCATAACCTATGACTCCATTTTGGGGTGGATGAACACCCATTTGCCACCTACTTTGATGTTCACCCGGGTACAGGGTTTTGACCCACAGCCACATCTTCACCCCCCATCCGCCCGTGGCACGGGTGGCACCGAGCCAACGAGAGGTGGACATGGAGAACTACGAGGTGATCTCGTTCGCGCGGGCCTCGGACCCGAGGCCGTGGTGGCTGAACCAGCCATCCGGTTCCTTAGCTTTTTAGCTCTTTGGTTGGTTTAGTGGTTGGGTTTCCATGTAAGCCACTGACAGTTTTCGACTTGTAGCGGGGGATCGGAGGGCGGCCCAGTCAAGTTTTCATAACATGCTTGGTCTGTTGTTTGTTTTGGGGAGCGATTCATGATTTGTTTTCCGCATTTCTCATGCAACAATGAGACCAAACCAGTCAAAGCAAAAACACGCTGGCAGGCCCATTCTTGTTTTCCTTGCAGGGCGCAGTTCAAACATTCGAGCCCGCCGGTGGATTCGTGAGCAGAGGGGAAATGCTTTGGACCACACCCAAATGAAAGATGGGAACCTGCAAATCAATCCTGTTGTACAAAGACGGGCGGGCCAAAGGAGGGTTCCCCAAAAGAATCCCAAGACCCACCAAAGTTCAAGCCTTTTAACCAGGCAACACTGCCAACAGACTATGATGTGCACGTTGCCTTGCAACTGTAGCTCCCCAGCAGTTGCAGATAAATTCTTCATCGCGAGTCACGTTGCAAATGGTTGCGTGCTTTTTTCAGGACGCGGACCCCGAAAAAATGGCGCAACGGTTTCCCTTTTGGCTTGGCTTTAAAAGCACCAAGGGGGGCTCCAAGGTAGCTTCTGGGGCCCGGGGGAAGCGACAGTCACAAGAGAAAAAGAACATTTGCTGCGAGCTGCACGCGGGGCATCGCCAGGGGCACTTCAAAGTAAGCCACGTTGATTTGGCTGTGAGTCAGCACCAATGGTATCCCATTTTGGGGTAGGTGCACCACCCATTCTAGTCTATTTCAGTGGGGATTGGGATCCTCACTGGGGGTACGGGATTTTGACCCATAGCCATTTGTTTGACCTCAAAGTGGTGGCACTCTGAACTGTTGGCTGGCAACAGACAGGTTGGTGTTTGCGCAAGGGAATGCAGGGCAAGAAGTGGTCGGATTGTTTGTTCGACCGGGTTTGTTGGGCTTGCCACCAACTTTTGCCCCTGAGGACTCAGACAAAGCCCCAAGGATATAGCACATGTGGCAAGTCCTCGGGTGAACGACTTTCGCTTGTGAAGGTGGGTCATCTGCAGAAATACAAACATCTTCTTGAGCCGTTTCTTTTTTTGTTCTCTCTGCTTACGTCCTCAAAAAGGAGAGAGGTGTCTCGCGTGGACACATAGAGTCTGTTTTGCAACCAAATGCTTTGCCCAGATAGGCTCTGGGCTATTTTGGTGTTACTGAGCTTCTTCTGCAGTGATCCGATCATACGAATGCTGGGTTCCCATTTTTCAGAAGAATACGCGACGGACTAATTGGGGCCTTGGTTGGTTCGGGGCATTGTTCGAGTATTGCGTCAAACAGGCGACCACACCATTTTTTTGTCTCCCTTGGATTTTGTCCCCCAAAACAGTAGCAACTCCAGGCAAGACACACACACACAAACATATCCCAATGCTGATTTGGATGAATTCAAAGATCCACCAATCCGAAGAATCCTCAAAATCGATAATGTCGCTATAAAAGGGGTGCTACCCTTGATCACTGTGATCCGAAGGTGGTTTCGTCTTCTTTAGTTTTTGTCCCGACATGATGTTCCTTGTTTCATTCGACTCGGCCAATGGCAACCCCGCTTTTGCAGTTGGAAAACCAGGGCTCCAAAACGGCTGTGTCGTTTTCTGGAGGGCACCTGAATATTTGTCGGTTTTGAAGGAAAACCCAAAAGCAAAAAATAGTGACATCCATCCCATTTTGTCGGTTTTGAAGGAAAACCAACAGAAAAACAAGAAACCCCTTTTCAGGGTTCCCAAAAAACACGACACACCCGTGGTACTCCGACCGGAAAAAAGAAAAAAAATCGCGGCCCCGCGCGCGCCACTGAGGAAGACTCCTTTGAGGGCGGCGGCGGCGGGAGCCAGCGGAGACCTCAGGGTCCGAACCACCCCCGTGCCCCTCCCCCAGGTTTGCTGGTTGTAGGGTAATTGGGGTTGGTTCCCTTATAACCCATGGTATTGCTGGGCCCCAAGTGTTTTTGCATTTTTCCATTTTTTTTCTTGTCATCAGCAATGAGGGGTTGGTTTCCTTTATGAGAGGCGGTTTCCGTTATGAGGGGTGGTTTCCGTTTTGAGGGGTGGTTTGCGTTTACACCGGTTTTGAGGGTACCTTTGGGATGTCTTGCTGAAATGGACCGACTTAAGGCATGATGGAGTCCAAAGGAGGAGGCAATTGAATGGTTTCCTTTGGTTCCCCTTTGCGATTTTTCGGAGCCCTGTTTCCAGGGCATGTTCAGAGGTACGGAGGTCATACCTGAAAGTACCCTTGAGCTGTCCTCATTACTTGGATGTTGAACCCACTTAGTAAGTATGTTATAACCATGGGTTGTAAGGGAACCAACTCCAATTACCCTACTTAGAACCATGGTTACAACCTACATACTAAGTGGGTTGAACATTCAAGTACTTGTTTTTCGTGGTTGCCCCTCAGTTTTGGTAGTTCTAGAGCTTTGACATGTTGCAGGGGGGCAGTTTCTGCTTGATCTGCTTGATTGAAAGTGATGGGTTTTGAACGATTTCAAAGATTACTCTGATCCCTTTATCTTTGCCTAGGTCCCCCAGTAGTACCCTTTTTGTTGGAGGAGGGTTCCCCTACTAAAATAGACTACAGGAAGAAACAGGGTACCCGTATTCTAACCTCTCAAATCTGGGGGACCTAGTTACTCACGGGCAGCTTTCCATTGATTCCCACTCTCCCATCAGATTCCAAACAGTGGTCCCGCTTGCGTTGTCCGAGCAGCGTGCCGCTTCTGCATACCACAGCCTGCAATCCCCTTCATCAAGTTTTCAGCTAAATCAATCACGAATCACAACTTGACCCTAAATAAAGCTAAGCTGATTGATTGCTAGTGACCTCGAAAATGTTTTGACCTTTTTAGCTTTATTCGGGGTCATACCTTTCCGACCAAGGAACGTCATGGCCATCCGTTTTTTTTTTTTTTTTTGTTTTTTTTTTTTTTTTAATATAATAATAATAATAATACAAAAAGAGGTATGGGTCTGTGTTGTTTTTGGTGTGTGTGTTGTCCTTTTATTTTTCTTTGAGACCACCCAAAAAGAGGGGGACCCTCAAAAAAGGCAGAAAACAAAAGCCAGGGTTCGGCCGACGTTGCGCTGCGGCTCAACAGCTCCGAGGCAAGGCGGAGGCAACGTGATCGACAATCCGGTGGACCAGGCCCGAGCCAGCTGGGCGTTGTTGATCAAGGGAGAACTCTGTTGAAACATGGCTGTGGGTCAAAACCAATGGTACCATGTTGGGGTGGTGGGGATTGGGATGTTGACTGGGGGTACGGGATTTTGACCCATGGCCACATGTCTCGAGAAGGAGGAGTTCAATCCCATGTCGCCTCTTTACAGCAGGTAATCCTTAGTTGGATTGGTGGTTTGGGGATTTGGTAGAGGGAAATGCAAAACCACGCCTGAACCACCAACCCACCAATCTAAACCACGGATTCGAGGGAAGCTGATTATAGTTGCATCATCCCCCGCAAGGTGGGGGGTCAAGGGAGGTTGACAAGATTATTCAGTGTTGCTCCACGCCTCAAGAATGAACAATTCACAGGGGTAGAAAACTGGTAGAAGGGGTCCTCTTGTTGTCCCGGTCAAATTTCTATCCTTGTTGGATTTTTGGATCAACACCTTTTTTTTCTTCTACTGTTGCTTTGTTGCTTAGGATTCTCCCCACTTCAAGAGGGCCGGCTGAGGAAATGGGGGGTGTCAGAGATTCCGGCGGTTTTCCCCGGCATTGCTCCTGGATCCTTGGTCCCTGGCGGTGAACATTTCCAGGGTTGCGCAAATTTGCGGGGTGTGAAGGATATGTTAGGTGTGAGTTTTGGAGGTATGGAGCTTACCACTTAAATAAGAATTATCTACTCTGCATGCCTGGAAATGCCCCTGACTTGTGGGTCGTTTTAAAGGGACACCTGCTGGAGAGCCATCCTTCTGGGGGCTCCGATTCGAATGAACCGTCAGTTTGCGGCGGATTTCACCTTGGACCCAGAACAAAGGCTGCTCTGCGAGCACCTTTTCACATGCGCCCCGTCTGGCTCCTGTTACAGGAATCGGTGGATCGTTTTTTTTGTTGCCTCAAAGGGCACCTGCGGATGGGCGACATCCGCTTAGACCACCTGTGGGTGTTCTGTCCCCAAGATTCGCAGGGTTTCGTCCGTCCCAACTAGTGCAGGAGATTCTTAGTTAATGAGCCTCAGATCCTCTTGGATGTCTTTCTTGACATTCAACGCTTTTCCGGACATCTTGGGGCCTCGGAACGGGCCCCGGCGAGAACTCGCAAGGTTGCCTGGCGTTTCGCCCTTGGAACGAAATAGCATGTTGAGGGTAGCCGGGAAAGTGGGAGGTTGTGTTGCTGTCCATGCACTTGCTTTTTGCCCTGGTGGTTTTGGCAAGGTTCTGGGATATTGCCAGATGGCATACCATCAGGCCATCAGGCAACCCCCATATAATTGGTGGTAAGTCGTGGTGGTATGGTCAAGATTTTGGGAACTGCCCTCGGGAGCTGTCCTCCTATATTGTCTTATATAGGTGTAATGTAGGCACTAATTCTGACTCATATTCCCCTTAAATAGTTCTTTTATTTCACGGGTTACAAATTCCAAACAGTCACTGGCGCCAGTCAACATGTTCCATCCTGCCATCTCACTTTGTCTATCAGCCTGCAAAAGGTCTGTTTGCCAAAGGCCTTGAGCCAGCAGTGGCAGAGGGGTCTTGCCCTAGGCGTCCGTTTGGAAGAATAGATGGCATTGGCCAATTGCTGGAGCACACCAACTCTGAGCCAGGTTTGATCGACAAATCGCTTGAACAAAGTGGTGGGCAGGCCCCGCAGCCATGCAGCTGTACTAGCGGACTTCCTTTCAAATTCCGAGTGCTGATTTCCAGTGCCAACTTGACTCATTTCAGTTGTTGGCTTGTTCGAGACCCAGCCAAACCCAGCCCTAAACATAGGGGGTAAGTGAGAAAACCACGTGAATTTACCGGTTGAGGCCGGCCAAACCAAATCAAGAAACCGTTTTGAGCCCCTTCCCCCCAAACACGCTCTTGGTTTTCAGCCCCCCACACCAAAACAACGCCAGAAACAACGACTATAAGGTTTGAGGGTTCCCCTGCCACAGAACGGTGTGTTTTGAAGGTCCCTCCCCCCAAAATGAACAACACAACAACCATGAATGAGGTGTGAGGGTCCCTGAGAAAAAAAGGAACCACAACTATAAGGTTCGAGGGCTCCTCCGAACACAACCCTTGTGATTTTGAAGGCCCCTCTCGAAAGGAACAAAAACTGAAACAACTATTATGAGCTTTGAGGGTTCCCCCGAAACAGAACTAGCCCATGAATCAACTTTAGCCATATATAAGGAAATGTGGTGAGTACCAAACCCTTTATGGGGATTTTGAACCCTTGGCAAAACGGGAGCCCCTCACATCCAAACCGATCCATATGCCATCATCCACTGCCCACCCCACCAATCCCCCCACCAATCCCCCCACCCATCCCCCCACCCATCCACCGCCCCCCCACTCCCACTCCCCCCCCATCAACCAGGTGGTAGACGTGGTGGAGGAGGTCCTGAGGTGCACGCAGCGCGGGCCCTGATGGCTCCAGCTGGGATGAAAGACCGGAAGAGCTGGGTGTGTCTCCCACCCAAAATTGTAGCTACCAAACTGTGGGTTGATCTCTTGGCTTCCCCTTTCAACCACAAAACAGGAGCTACCAAACTGTGGGTTGATCTCTTGGCTTCCCCTTGCAACCACAAAACAGGAGCTACCAAACTGGGGGTTGATCTCTTGGCTTCCCCTTGCAACCACAAAACAGCAGCTATCAAGCTGTGGGTTTGTGTCTTGGTTTCCCTTTGAAACCACAAAACAGGACTACTCAATCAAAGGCACGGTCTAATGAAGACCTCTGGACCAGGCTAATCCTGGCTGTGGGAAACCTTCCGCTTCCTGTGCTCGGAGTGTGAAACATTCCCTCTGTTTCTTGGCTCAGAGCCAGACAGTTTGTGGTCCAAATCTGCGAAGCTCCATTCACGCTGCCCCTCATTGTTGTTCAGAAAGGGCACAAGCTGGTTTACCAGTGCAAAGCAGTTGTTCTTAAGCCAAACTGGAACCACTTGTGAGCAAACCAAAGACTGGTTGCGTCGTTGCCTCTTGTGGAGGGGTTGGCGAAGATGGGTTCAGCCAGAGCTGAACTCGACATAGCCTTCCTAAGAGGGAATATTTTGAAACACCTTTGTGTAGATGGCTTCCTTTTGGTTCTACCCCAAGAAGGGATGCCAAAAAGAGCCACCTCAGTACTGGTCTGGGAGGTTCAGGGGCTAGCGATGGGCGTATTTCTGCATTGAAAGCCGGCAAATTGCATAGCGAGCTCAGCGATAGGTTTGTTTCAAGCGAAAACTCGTGAAGGTCACTTCGCAGCCAGGTTTCTCTGCCTCTTGTTCTTCTTCTTGACACCACGCAGCTCCAAACCTGAGTCTAACAGGGTTTCCTGACTACTTTAATTCATCAAACGGGCGTGTCTCAAAATAAGGGTACCCACCAAAATGGTTGGTTTCATGTAGAAAGCCCTCCCAAAATGGTTGGCCCCATCCACATTTCTCTCTAAAACCCACCCAAAAAGGCATAGCCCACAAGAAAAGGCTGTGGCTCAAAAAAGTGTACCCAAAACGGCCCCTAGGTAAATGGACACAACGACCAACATCTGCGTAACCCTGGCTCTTAAATGTTGAGCCACACCTAGACAACCCCACAACGTGAACGATTGGCACTCGTGCTGAGGGCCAAAGGCATCTTCTCCCCGGATGGCATGGCTGCTCTGGGCCGAGGATCGATCCGGATTCGACTCGACGGGGTTTCCCGGGTGGTTTCGCCCCATTTGCGTGAAACCACCGGATCCCCCTCCTGATTCGAAATCCAACATGATTTTTTTTCAGGGCTTGAATCAGGTCCTGATGATTCGAATCCCAAGACCCTAAGGGTTGAATCGCGACTTCTCAAGCCTTTCCCCCGTTGGGCGAAATCCCTTTCCGGCACCCCGGAGGCTTTCGGAGCGGGGGAGGGTTGCGACGCCGCGTTCACCTTTCGGTTTGCGACCGTCGCCTTTGCCAACTACTTGATGCGTTTTTCACCGTCTCGGGTTGCAGATTCGAACGCGACCTCGCATCCGTACTGGGGGAATGATCCCGTATGTTTCCAGATTCCCTGGCTGGGAAGCTGGTCTTACAAGACCAGTCAGGTTCCCTGAGGTAGACGCAACGTTGCTTGGAGATTCCAGATCAACAGAATCTTCGGGGAAGGCAAGTTGTTGCGTTCAACAATTGAAGCGCAGTAAATTGATTTATTTACCTCTACTATACTGGCTTTCCTGAGTTTCCGAACTTGCTGCTTTTTGGAAAGGGACTTCCAACTGCACACGAACAGTTTAGATGCCAGATGTTGCCGTCAGCTCAGGAGATGAGTATGTTTGCCCGGACAATTCCTTGAAGAACCCGTTAGGCCCCCCATCCCGGATCCTTTGTGAGGACCCTCCTTTTCGTCCACTGACTTCCCACACGAAGCCAACATTTCGGGAGCCGCGGCCTCGCAAGTTGGATCCAACATTGCCATCATAGGTGTCCATCTGAGGTTTGGTTAGAGAGAGATGGGCACTGGTCTAGATGGGTTCTATTCTATGCCATTCGCCAGGGCCATCTATCTATCTCACCAACAGGACACCAGTGGTTCCCATGCTTCTCGTTTCTTGTTATTCAGACGACTCATGATCCGGTTCTGCTTTTTTTTTGTCTCAGAAGCCATGGTTTGGCCTGTTTAAAAATTGGAAGTTCAGTTGAGCTCTCGTCATGTTTAAACCATTCCAGATTTCAGCATTTGGGTTTCAGCTGGGGCAAAAAGGTAGCCCCATTTGGGTTGTCAAAATATGGAAGCGGACCCCCCAAAAAAAAACCAAAAACACAAAACACAAAGGCATCGGTTTCCTTTTTTGGTTTCCCTGAGGGCACCACTTAAGGGGTATCCTCAAACGACCCATTGGGTTGTTTTTTTGGGGTGGTACCCTTGCAGTGTTCGTTTACGGGGAACAAAAGGAGCACTAATTTTGAGGGTCTATTGCAAAAGGAAAGCAACACAAAGTTAGCTCCATATCCTAAGTTTCAGGCATTCTCCTTTGGGTGTGTCTTTCTTTGCCCCCACCCTCCCCCCGAAAAAAATAAGAAGAACTAGCACCAAGTGTTGGTTTCCTTGGTGCTTCCCAACAAAGGGCACCAACTGAATAGCCCATATGGAACCCATGAGGCCATGAGGCCACGTGCCGGGCGAGGGGCGAGCCTCGGATCTCGAGGAGCCTGGGCCTCCTCGAGCTCCGCGGTGGCGCTCTGGGCCGCGCCCTCGGAGCTTGGATCGGAGCTCTCGGAGCTCGGGGGGATCGGTTTGGGGGGGCCCGTCGACGGTGGCCCTACCCGTGGGCCCGGGGAGCTTTTGGTTTTGGGAAGAGGGACATTTGCATTTTGGAAGCTTCCCGGCTTTTTCTGGTTTGGAGGCAATTGCTGGTTTGGAAGTTTGTTGTGGGAAGAGGGACATCTCCATGTTGGAAGCGGTTTGGAAGCAATTGCTGGAGCCATGGTTTGGACACGGATTTGGATTTGAGCTCGGGCTTTGCGGGTCGTTGTGGTTTGAGTAAATGGGGTAAGCCCCGAAAACCGACAAAACCCCGGGCTTCGAAATGGGGGAAGCTGATGTGTGTGGATTGGTATCTCTGAAGGCCCAAGTTGGGGATATGGGACAACACTTGGGACAGCCGAAAAAGCCAATCTTGGTTTGGTTGAACATCGATTCGCAATGGTTGCTCTCATGTGCACAGGTTGTTCCTCGCAAATTGCAAAGAGTACCTTTTGCAGGGGCGCAAAAAAGAAGCAAGCCAGGTGGATAGATGTTGCTCACTTTGTCGTTTACTCAGCGGAATTCTCATTGACTTGGGAAGCTACAGAATCTGATCAAAATGTTTGATGGGTGGGTTCTTGGGAGGTCTGGAAGTGATTTATTCCAATTTATTCGGGGTATTTTCTACGCGGATTTCCTCAAAGATAAATGGTGTTTTTCCTAGCCTTCGCACCTCTAACCACCCCACCAGTCAAAATGCAAACTTAAAACCGGCAGGCGGGCGGGCGGGCGGGCGGGCGGGCGGGCGGGTGGGTGGGTGGGTGGGGGGGGGGTGGGGTGGGTGGGGTGAGTGTGGTGGGGTGGGCGGGGTGGGGTGGGGTGGGGTGGGGTGTGGAGGGGTGGAGGGGTGGAGGGGTGGAGGGGTGGAGGGGTGGAGGGGTGGAGGGGTGGAGGGGTGGAGGGCTGGAGGGCTGGAGGGCTGGAGGGGTGGAGGGGTGGCTGGGTGGCTGGGTGGGTGGGTGGGTGGGTGGGTGGGGTATACTTCTTGGCTCAAGGACTTGCATCAAAAGGGACAGGGAAAGCGACTCGCAAAAGGAGACTCGTCATTTCTGGTTCGTTGAATGCTCGGAACTCATGAATACTACAAAGGGAGCCTGAAAGGGGGCTTCGCCCCCTCTTAAAAAAGTCCCCTGTGTTTGGAAACCTCCATGTTCATGCAATCCCTTTCGCAAAACAGTCCCCTCAATCAGGAGACGGCTGGGAGGCGACTTTCGCGGATACATCCTTGTAGTACATCAAAGAAGTACTGACAGAGGACCAAACTCCACTAACTTGAGTGATTTGGCTTGGCGGTTTTGAGGTTTGGGCGTCGCCTTCAAATTGACTCTATAAAGACAATCAGGGGTCCACATGCCCAAACCACAAATCCACCCTGAAAAAGCCAGCTCGAGGCTGTCTTGGCGCTGTTCTTCTTCGGGTGTGTGGCCGCCTTCGCGCGGGACCTCACGAGGAACCAGACCAAGCGCCTGGGATTACCACTGGAGGTCTGGGAGGGGCGGGGTTGGACCCAGAAGGGACGCTAAAAAGAACAACCACACATGGCCATGGGTCAAAATCCCGTGCCCCCACATCCCAATCCCCACTAAATAGACTAAAATGGGTGGTGCACCTACCCCAAAATGGTACCATTGGTCTTGACCCACAGCCACATGGGTTCCTTTGCGTTTGTTTTGTCCAAATGCTGGTGCGGCATTTAGCCCGGGATTCTCGAGGTTTGTTTTGGGCACCCATGTGGAGTACAGGGATAAACGTTGCGACCCTGGATTTGGTTGACCGGAACCCACGATCTGGTTCCTTTCTTGGAGAGGGGGGTCCCCTTAGTGTTGGGGTAAGACCCCCCCAGAAACCACAAAACAGACCAGGTGCCGCAATGGGTCTGCCCTGCCACCTTTTGCCGCACGCCAAGATGGAATTCGGGCTACGCGAGATTCCGAAAAGGCATAGCAAAATGGAGGGGAGCAACAAAGCAAACAAAGACATCAAATCAAATCAATCAAAACAAATTAAAGGACCGGATAACCCCACATGCTATGTTTTTCCCAAATGTCCACACACATGTACCGTGCGCCCCTTGTATGGATGCGATTACAGAGCACCCAGATGCACAGAATGCAGCGCCTGCCACGACTTCGGCAACGGCATCGCCAAAGTGCTGCGCCTGCCACGATTTCGCAACGGCATCGCCAAAGTGCTGCGCCTGCCACGATTTCGCACACCCCCCGCCGCGCGCGCGACAACATCCTGTCCCTCTAGACAGCTGCCGAATGCGACCCCTGCCACACAAACACACACCCAGATGCACAGAATGCTGCGCCTGCCACGACTTCGGCAACGGCATCGCCAAAGTGCTGCGCCTGCCACGATTTCGCAACGGCATCGCCAAAGTGCTGCGCCTGCCACGATTTCGCACACCCCCCGCCGCGCGCGCGACAACATCCTGTCCCTCTAGACAGCTGCCGAATGCGACCCCTGCCACACAAACACACACCCAGATGCACAGAATGCTGCGCCTGCCACGACTTCGGCAACGGCATCGCCAAAGTGCTGCGCCTGCCACGATTTCGCAACGGCATCGCCAAAGTGCTGCGCCTGCCACGATTTCGCACACCCCCCGCCGCGCGCGCGACAACATCCTGTCCCTCTAGACAGCTGCCGAATGCGACCCCTGCCACACAAACACACACCCAGATGCACAGAATGCTGCGCCTGCCACGACTTCGGCAACGGCATCGCCAAAGTGCTGCGCCTGCCACGATTTCGCAACGGCATCGCCAAAGTGCTGCGCCTGCCACGATTTCGCACACCCCCCGCCGCGCGCGCGACAACATCCTGTCCCTCTAGACAGCTGCCGAATGCGACCCCTGCCACACAAACACACACCCAGATGCACAGAATGCTGCGCCTGCCACGACTTCGGCAACGGCATCGCCAAAGTGCTGCGCCTGCCACGATTTCGCAACGGCATCGCCAAAGTGCTGCGCCTGCCACGATTTCGCACGCCCCCCGCCGCGCGCGCGACAACATCCTGTCCCTCTAGACAGCTGCCGAATGCGACCCCTGCCACACAAACACACACCCAGATGCACAGAATGCTGCGCCTGCCACGACTTCGGCAACGGCATCGCCAAAGTGCTGCGCCTGCCACGATTTCGCAACGGCATCGCCAAAGTGCTGCGCCTGCCACGATTTCGCACACCCCCCGCCGCGCGCGCGACAACATCCTGTCCCTCTAGACAGCTGCCGAATGCGACCCCTGCCACACAAACACACACCCAGATGCACAGAATGCTGCGCCTGCCACGACTTCGGCAACGGCATCGCCAAAGTGCTGCGCCTGCCACGATTTCGCAACGGCATCGCCAAAGTGCTGCGCCTGCCACGATTTCGCACACCCCCCGCCGCGCGCGCGACAACATCCTGTCCCTCTAGACAGCTGCCGAATGCGACCCCTGCCACACAAACACACACCCAGATGCACAGAATGCTGCGCCTGCCACGACTTCGGCAACGGCATCGCCAAAGTGCTGCGCCTGCCACGATTTCGCAACGGCATCGCCAAAGTGCTGCGCCTGCCACGATTTCGCACGCCCCCCGCCGCGCGCGCGACAACATCCTGTCCCTCTAGACAGCTGCCGAATGCGACCCCTGCCACACAAACACACACCCAGATGCACAGAATGCTGCGCCTGCCACGACTTCGGCAACGGCATCGCCAAAGTGCTGCGCCTGCCACGATTTCGCAACGGCATCGCCAAAGTGCTGCGCCTGCCACGATTTCGCACGCCCCCCGCCGCGCGCGCGACAACATCCTGTCCCTCTAGACAGCTGCCGAGTGCGACCCCTGCCACACAAACACACACCCAGATGCACAGAATGCTGCGCCTGCCACGACTTCGGCAACGGCATCGCCAAAGTGCTGCGCCTGCCACGATTTCGCAACGGCATCGCCAAAGTGCTGCGCCTGCCACGATTTCGCACGCCCCCCGCCGCGCGCGCGACAACATCCTGTCCCTCTAGACAGCTGCCGAATGCGACCCCTGCCACACAAACACACACCCAGATGCACAGAATGCTGCGCCTGCCACGACTTCGGCAACGGCATCGCCAAAGTGCTGCGCCTGCCACGATTTCGCAACGGCATCGCCAAAGTGCTGCGCCTGCCACGATTTCGCACGCCCCCGCCGCGCGCGCGACAACATCCTGTCCCTCTAGACAGCTGCCGAATGCGACCCCTGCCACACAAACACACACCCAGATGCACAGAATGCTGCGCCTGCCACGACTTCGGCAACGGCATCGCCAAAGTGCTGCGCCTGCCACGATTTCGCAACGGCATCGCCAAAGTGCTGCGCCTGCCACGATTTCGCACACCCCCCGCCGCGCGCGCGACAACATCCTGTCCCTCTAGACAGCTGCCGTGAGTCAGCGAGTGTGAGTGAGTGAGTGAGCGAGTGAGTGAGTGAGTGAGTGAATGAGAGTGAGTGAATGAGAGTGAGTGTGAGTGAGTGAGTGTGAGTGAGCGTGAGTGAGTGAGGGAGTGAGTTTGAGTGAGTGTGAGTGAGTGAGTGTGAGTGAGTGTGAGTGACTGAGTGTGAGTGAAGTGAGTGTGAGTGAGTGTGAGTTGAGTGTGAGTGACTGAGTGTGAGTGAGTGAGTGTGAGTGAGTGAGTGTGAGTTGAGTGAGTGTAAGTGAGTGAGTGAGTGAGTGAGTGAGTGAGTGAGTGAGTGAGTGAGTGAGTGAGTGAGTGAGTGAGTGAGTGAGTGAGTGAGTGAGTGAGTGAGTGAGTGAGTGAGTGAGTGAGACGGAGACGAGCGGGAGGAGGAGACGCGGCGCGCGGACGACGAGCGGAAAAAGTAAGAACCCCACACAAAGATGTGGGGAACAAAACCAGCAACTGCATTTTGCCACTAATTCAAACAGGCCGCCAATCCAGATGTGGTTTCAGTGCTTGGGCAGACCTGCTGTTTGCATGTGAGGTGGATGAGTCAGTTGATGTCGCTCACGTACCCAGATGGGCAGGAGGAGGACGAGGCGTGGCCCCGCAGCTCCCCACCGCCCAACAGCCCAACAGCCCAACAGCCCCCCCAAAGGAGAGTCCTCCAAGAATACATCGGGACTCAGTCCCCGAGTTACTTTTTGAATTTGCACCATTTTAGCGATACAATCCAAAGTTTAAACTTTTCTTTGGCCAATCCACTCAAGTGCGGGAGGCCTCAAGCCCCTTTTTGATGCGGAAAACCGAAAAAGGAAACCACCCGTTTGGGACGCGCCCTCGCATCCGCGGCTTTTTGAAGCCGGGGTCCTGGTCCGTTCGGATTCGCCTCGCCGGCTTTTTCAATCGACTTCGGCGGCTCGGAAGCTTTCCTTCGCAGGACGAGGACGAAGCGCCGGAGGAGCTTTTGCTCGAGGGTTGGAAAGTTCAAGTCCAATATGGGCTTTTAGGTTGGATTGGTTAGAAATACTGCAGATGGCACTGGTTTAGATTGGTTTTCTTCCATTTAGCAGGGTGTTCTTTTGATTGGTTGGGTGGGGCAATGAAATACTGGTTTAGATGGGTCTTATTCGCCCCATTTATTAGGGAGACCCCTGTATTTTTCCAAAAGGACACCTATAGGCGTGTCTTTTGAAATTCACCCTTGGAGCAGTCGTTTTTCACAGGGAACCCCAAAAGCAAAGAAACCGACAGGGGGTCCCCTAAAAGGAAGACATACGCAGTGTAAGCCAACGATTGTTGCGACGACCTCCTCTGCTTCCCAACTAGCGGCGGGCCAGTTGAAACGACAGTCTAGGGGTGCTTGTGCATACCCCTTTCACATACCCCTTGGACAAATGAACCCAAAAGGCCTGATGTTCCCACCATATCCTCTCCCCTTTTGGGTATCTTCCCCTGCTTGGAAACCAGGGAAGCTGTCCGAGTGGGGATCCAGATGTCGATTCTTTGCGTTGGCTCCTTGAGCTGTTTCTTCTTCTTTCCTTCCGCAAGGCTGCCTGCAACGCAAGTTGCCGCATGCTTCGCTTTTGTGTGTGCAAAGCGCGGTTTGAGTGGATCGTTGCAGGTCATCGCGATTTGGCGTGGCGTCCTTCTCTTTCCCTCTTTGCAACAGCCAGGTTTTTCTGAGTGATCGTGCCGATCTCGGAGTCCGATCTCGGAGCTCAAAAGCCGTGGGTTGACTGACAAGAATTCTCGCGCAGACATTATGCTGTGTCCAGTGGCCCTAACAGCATGGCAGCTGGAGAGGTTTCCCCATGGCACGTTTGGTAGCGTCTTTTTTAAAAGGGTTCATGACCCTTTTGGGGTTGGCTTCAAGGGACCAGGAATGAACACCCTAGTTGGTCAGGGTTCTCGAGCCTTTCCCCTTTTGTTATCATAATTTTGGGAACCTCCAAAACGGGTGTTCTCGTTTCAATGGAAACCACCGGCACATTGATCACCTGATTTGGGGGGAAGTCCGGGAACCTCGTATTCGGCTCTGTTTTTTTGAGGACCCCCCACCCCCCGACGTTTCGGCTGAACGAACCACCCAATGTTGACCCCATATTAAGCAACTCCATTTGGTTAATAGGGGTGTGTCCCTGGGTTTAGTGGGAAATCATCACTTTTGGAGGGGAACAGTTTTCAATGAATAAACTGGGGTTGATTAGGCCATGGGTCAAAGGCCCGTACCCCCAGTGAACATCCCAATCCCAACTAAAATAGGTTCCACATTGGGTGGTGCACCTACCCCAAAATGGGATCCAAAACGGTTTTCACAACCACAGGACAAGGCCAAGACCTTCAGCAAGACCTGCATCATGCTTCTCCACTCCTTGCAGGCGAGAAGCGAGAGATCGTAGAAAAAAACCGCAGCGGGTGCAACATGAACGTCGAAACAAACACACATTGACTCCCTTTCTTTGAAGGGCAATTAAAGGGTAAACACCAAAAGGAATTGCTTTTTTCCTCCCCCAGATAGCTGAAAGCTATGGGGGTTCTAGCTTCTGATGAGAGGGGAAAGTGATTTGCGAGATTGAAGGCAGGGTGCTAGGGGGCATGCAGTTTGGGGACGTTTGGGGTGCTGATTTGATTGAGTTGTTGGGAACGGCGCAGCACATTTTGCAAGATCGACGGCAGCTAGGGACCATGCAGTTTGGGGTGAGGTGCAGGTTGGGGTGCTGTTTAAGACGGTGCAAGCGCATTTTTGCGAGTGACGGTCAGGTGCTTGGGTGTATGCAGTGTGTGTCTCTTTTTGGATTTCTCTTTGGCAGCTTGGGGGCAAGAAAGCCGAAGCCAAGGCTGGGTTCCATATGGGAAGGTATCAAAGGGTGGCCCCAAACATGGTGGTCTTCCTTTTGGTTTCCTTCTAGAACAACCTCAAACACGAGCACTCTCAAAACGCAAACGCACACACCCACACAACGCGCGCATGCTAGCCTGAGACAAGCGTATGTCCAGATCGGCGGGTTGCCCTCTTGAGGCGGACCCGGAAGCAAGCAGGCGCACGGGCGCGCAAGCAAGCAAGCAAGAAGGCAACAAGGTCTACAAACAAACAAGAAGCAAGCAAGCAAGCAAGCAACAGACAAACCAGCAAAAAAGCAAACAAGCAAACCAACGAACAAACAGACAGGCAGGCCGACAGATAAGAGAGAGAGAGAGAGAGAGTGAAAAGTAAGGCATGCAGGCAAGCAACCAAGCAAACAACTAAGCATACAACAACCCAACCAAGCACGCAAGCGACACATACGAACAAACAACACACACACAAGCGCGCGACCACACAAACACACAAGCAAACAAGCAAGCAAGCGAGCGAGCGAGCAAGCGAGCAAGTAAACACACAAAGACAAACAAAAACAAACAGGCGTACAAACAAACAAGAAAGCAAGCAAGCAAGCAAGCAAGCAAGCAAGCAAGCAAGCAAGCAAGCAAGCAAGCAAGCAAGCAAGCCCGCACGCAAGCACGCAAGCACGCACGCACGCACGCAAGCACGCAAGCAACCAACCAACCAAAGAAACAGGCGGACAGACAGACAGAGACAGACACGAAGACCTGCAGACGGACGGACGGACAGACAGACAGACAGACAGGCAGGCAGGCAGAACAGAGAAGCGCACAAACGCGCACACACACACACAAAGCAGTCAACCAAGCAACCAACCCACCATGCCAGCGAGCTAAGAATTATACACTGTGCTGGAAACGCACGCGCCAAGACGAAACAAGCATGCCGCAGGCCGGCATGGATGTCCAGTCGCTGGAGATTGGTCTTGTGGTCAGGACGGGGATGGGATGCGGCGGGCCTATTGGGCGTTTCTAATCTACAGGGACCAGCTCGGCCCTCTTGCAAGCATATTTCTCACTTGATTTGGAGGACTCTGTTGTGAAGCAAGTGGTTCATAGATGTACTTTCTGGGTCTGTCTTTCAACAAGGGAGCCGCCCACCATGGGGTGGATTGGTTTTGGTGCTGAGTTCCGAAAACTGCGGTTGGGATCATATTCGTCATATTCAAGGGTGGGAAGCATCCCAAAGAAGCACCTAGGCGTTGTTGGGGATTGTTTTGGGATGGAACATATAGGGCGCAAAGGAAGCAACTAAGATTCCTAAATGCTGCCCCCAAATGGGGAATTCACCAGTTTTGGGTCATGCACCACAAACAACATTCGCAGCTCCCTGCTTTCCTTGACTAATATGTTGTATGTTTTTTGAGGCGAATGATCTTTCTCATGAAAGGGAAACAACAAAACACACGTCACCATCATTTTTTGGGGGTTCCCAAACATATTGACACGTGGCTGATCAATATTCCGCATTTTCCTATTCTGTCCAGGGGCTCGGAAAACTTCCAAACACAGAGAACACGGGCTTTTCCCCGTAACCGGGTTTCCTCCGCTTGATTTCTTTCACATGGAAAGAGTTGTTCGTTTTGGCGGGGTCTTAGTCTGGCCAAGACGAGAGAAGGCCATCGAATGGTGTCAAGTTTTGACGAGCTCACCGATCCAGGGGTAAAACAAGGTACCCGTGCCGTTTTTAGGAACTGCGTTTTGGCACAACAGCAACAACAGCCGGAAACAGCTGTCGAGCAAGACCGTGGGAAAGCCCATACCTTTCCTCAAAAAACATGACGACCTGCCATTCGCACCTATAGTCATTCTGCCCGTCTTCCATAGGCAAAGTGTCGAGGTGCAAAGCTGCAGCTGTCTCTGCCCTCAATTGGAACAAGGACTTGTTAGTGTTTTTTATACTCAAGATTCGATTCAATATTGTAAGATGAAAAGCTGCAGCCTACTGTGCCCAAATGCAACACAAGACTTACAACCATTGCACAAATACACAACTTGCCTATCTTGCTGGGCCAGCCTTCCTGCCATCGATGCAGAAGCCATGCGTGCAAACACCGCCGAAACTTGGGGTTCTTTGTTCCACCAATCCTTTTTCCTTCTAAAGTGGCATGAAATCGCATGGATCACTCGTAAGATTGGGACCCACTCCACAACCCTTTCGTGTATTCGGAGGCTTTGAATGGACCCCGTCTGGGACTGTACATCACCCTTCTTCACTGCTTTTACTTCATGTCTGTTTGGTTGCTTGCGTGTTTGTTTGTTTGTTTGTTTGTTGGTTGCTTGCTTGCTTGTTTGTTTGTTTCTTTGTTTGTTAGTTAGTTAGTTAGTTGCTTGCTTGCTTGCTTGCTTGCTTGTCTGTTGGTTGGTTGGTTGGTTGGTTGGTTGGTTGGTTGGTTGGTTGGTTGGTTGGTTGGTTGGTTGGTTGGTTGGTTTGTCGGTTTGTTTGTTACTTTGTTTAGTTGGTTGCTTGCTTGCTTGCTTGCTTGCGTGCATGCTTGCGTGCTTGCTTGCATACTTGCTTGTTGTTTTTGTTTGTTTGTTTGTTTGTTTGTTTGTTTGTTTGTTTGTTTGCTTGCTTGTTTATTTGTTTATTTGTTTGTTTGCTTGCTTGCTTGTTTGCTTGCTTGCTTGTTTGTTTGTTTGTTTGTTTGTTTGTTTGTTTTTTGTTTTTTTGTTCGTTTTGTTATGGTTTGTTTTGTTCTATTTTGTTTGTGTGCTTCTATGGTTCTGCAACCAATATCAGTGGGGGGGCTGCAAGGAATGGAGTTTTACGCCATTATACCAGGGCCTTGGGACACTAAGCCCGTTAAAGAGAGGGTTAAGGCACATGAAAAGAGGGCAAGCGTTGCAAGGAGGAGGGGCTATCTTGTCTTGGGTACCTTTTGTTGGTGGTTGTAAAGGGAAATCAAAAGGAGAACCGCCATTCTGGCGGATCCCCCAAAATTCCCCCGCTCCGCACAGGGGGGCCCAATACGGATGAAAGGGCCAGGATCCATCGTGAATGTGGACATAGCTTACAGTGTTTTGTCAGTTTCGGTCGCCGGGCAGCAGGGTTTGCTCATGTCGACCAAAGCTGTCCGGATGCCATTTTTTTTGTTTGCTACGAAAAGCCTCAGCGGATGTTCGTGCTGTGCTTCCTGTGTTCTTTGTTCCAGTCCATGGGTCTTCGGGGGTTCTACAGACGCTTGTGCTTGGCATCACGGAGTATGAACCACGAGTGCTTTCTGGGCTCACTTTGTTACTTTAGTTGGGAGGCGCTCAACGCGTCCGGAGCCGCGTCGCCGTCTCGATCAGGACGGCCGGAAGCAAAGAGGGCAGCTCGGCCAAGCGTTTGCCTGCTCGCCCTACTAGCTCAGAGTTGCGGCGCCGTTTTTTTTTTGAGGGCGAGCTTGGGCCAGCTAGGTGCCCTGTCTGCGGCTGGAGGTCAGAAGTGGTCGCAAAGTGTGTCTTGTTTCGCAAGCCCAAGGAAAGGGAGTTCGGGCGAAGCTGATCCCGTCAGCTCTGCCGGCTTTCTTGGAAGGGGAGCCAAAGAAGACCCAAGGGTGCGATGTCCACGTAGACAAAGTTACATGGCCCACATGTGTGGAGGTTTCAATTCTTGGAGGTGTGGCGCACCTGATGAACGCAACAGGATCTGGTTCGCGGGGATAAACGAATGCCTCGAATGTGTTGGACTCCTCGCTGGATGGCTCTAAGCCAAGAATCAACCAAGCAATTGGGGCAAAACAGCGACGAGCGCAAGGTGAGCAAGATCCAACTTCTCATGTTCTAGAGGCTCAAGCGGTAACGGCGCTGGGCACGGTGGTTGAGAGGCTCCAGCGGTCATTTGCTCAGAGAGATGGTGACGACCAAGAAAGCAACTCAGAAGCCCGTGACCCTGAGGGAAATGCCACAGAGCATCTGAGATCGCCAGTTGACTGGCAAGCTGGAAGCCCAAGCTCGAGCGGGCGACGCACCCACCTTTGCTCTGCCGAAGTTGTACTCCCCCCAGAAGCCAAGCTGCCTCCCCCCGCCCGTGGCACAACAATTTCCCTACCAGATCCACAATCCAGATCCAAAGTTGGGTTTTGGACGTGTCTTTCCAGAGCCCTGCCACCCCATTTGGCCAATTCGGGCCTATCAATTTTCTGAAGGGTACCCTTTTCGGGCTTGGGTTTTCAAGGTGAAACCCTTGGATAGCCGGACTTGTTGTGGTCTCCACGGCACGGCGTGAGCAGTACCAGTAGTCCCTGGAAGCCAGTAGCATTGCGCTACTCCATACCATCGCCTAAAAAACCTTTGGAGGGAAAAACAAAACGCAAAAGACAGGGGCCGCCCCTTTTTGGGGTCGTCTCCCGTCTCCCCCACGTCCGCTTCCGGAACGAAGGCATGGAGCTGAAGAAGCACAAGAGCCCGCTCTACGCCGCGGCGGTGAAGATGGCCGACGCGGCTCGCGGCGGTTTTTTTAGACCTTCGGTGTGTGGCCTGGGTGGTGGGATTGGTAAGGAGGGTCTCTCAGGATTTTCAGGATTTTCAGGAGAGGTATCTCAGGGTAAAGGCGGGGGGCGGGGGGTTGTGGGATCAAGGGCTTTATCCCCACTTCATGGTTGTTGTTGGGAAACATTTTGCATTTTTGCTTATTGTGGTTTATAGTGGTTGAAATCCCCAGTTTAGTGGATCGGTCCATTTTAATAGGGAATCTAGGGGAAAGGGGGGGTTGTGGGAGCACAAGGGGTTGATCCAAAAACTTCTGCGAAACAAGTTGGAATCTCGCCCTTCATATTGGGGGTTAGTCTTTGCGAAGCCGGTCGAAACTTAGATACCCTTTTTTGTGGTAACCCCGAATCTAGGGGTAAGGGGGGTAGCGGGGTTTTGACCCACTTCCACTGACCCCCCCCCCAAAACGGGTGCCCCAAAAAGACAGGCCCACCTGGGCATGAGTTTTAATTGGGGACCCTTTGGTGGACATCATTTACATGGAGGCTTACTGTGGAATCCCGCACCGGTTGGGATGGATGAAACCGGATGGGTACTGATATGCTGGGATAACGTTCCTACCCACTGGTACAGGATTTTGTCCATCCACATGTCCACCAGCCACTTTGGGGTTCCAACTCAGATTCATAGCCACATGGGGTTGTGTTGCTCTGAAGCTACCCACTTTTGGGGTTTTGTTTCATTTTGTTCTTGTTCTTCTTCTTCTTCTTCTTCTTCTTCTTCATTTTTTTGTTGGGGGGGTCCGCTATTTTGATGGACAACCCAAGTTTCTCCCAACGCAAGTAATCCAAGGGAGTTACCCCCCAAAGAAGCAAAACCAAATACTCTAGTGATGGTGACCCAAGAGGGCCGTTACTGGGGGGGGGGGCGGGGGTTCCCTCCAGTTTCCTCATTGACACCTCTGGGCAGGACCTGAGAACCTTCAAAATTGCCATCGCCGCAAGCAGGGCGAATGTCCCTCGCATTTTTGGCGCGCCCGGTTTCCCCTGAAAATGGCCATGGGTCGCAACCTATGCCTCCATTTTGGGGCGGATGAACACCCATGTACCACATATTTTGATGTTCACCAAGGGTACAGGGATTTGACCCACAGGCAAATGTCTGCGGTCGCGCTCGTTGCGCAACCGCACTTGAGGTCATCAACATCTCCGTGGGCCACGTCCGCGCAACGACCCTCTTCCTAGAGGCGCCAGAGGGCTTTCCGTGCGATTGAGTTTACGAAGAAACGGCGACCTTTCTTGGTGCTTTGTGGAATACTCGGTGTTTTTGGTCTTCTTGCAAGGGGTTGATTCCCCATTCTTTTCAGCCATCGTTCGTTCCAAAAGCCGGATCCGTTTTCCCTGGGTTTCAAAGGAGGTTTTCTAGAAAGATCCGGATCCCTGAAAAGAACGGAAATGGAAGGTACCCCCAGACTTCTGCGTATTTTTTACAGGGACATTTGGAATATGGTCCACTGGCAGGAGCCTGCGAGGTCTGAGAACAGCATTGCCACCCCCATGTGGCCCTTGCAGACTCAAACCCGGGACTTGGACCTGGGGAAATGAACCATTTTTTGTGTGGTTTGATAAAAAATATGTTTTTTTTGGTGCTCGGAGAGCTTACAGACTATCGCACATATGTCCTACCGAGCTTCCGGAGTGAGCGTTCGCGATCGGTTTGGGGAACTTCCTCCCTGCCCATCCGCAGCCGCCGGTTTGAGATGCATCCCATCAGAACTCTTGGCTGCAGGTTCACGAATGAACCAAATCTCCGAATTTTCGGGCCGCAGCGCCGTGCCGTTCGCGAGATCCGGAAGCTTATCCCAAGTCAGTGGGTGGAAGCGAGCTCCTCCAGCCTCAGCGGTTTTCAGCTTTTTAGGGTTTAGTGGTCCTTTCCTTTAATTTTAGCCTACAAGTTTCATTTTGTTAGGGGATCTGAGAGCCCAGAAATGAGAAAGTTTGAGCACCTCAGAGTGTGTGACTTTTTCTCGGGCTCCGGATTTGACAGGCCAACTGGTTGGCGCGGATGCTGCTGCTCTTTCCAGCAGTGCACCGGGCCCTGAACGCCGGGCACGGCAGTTTGGTGGTCAGTCGCGGGGGCCCCGGTTTGGCTGCCAGCCTTGCCTCGACGGTTCGCCATATCCATTTTGAGAGTCAGACTTTGAGTTCAACTTTTTGGAGTCTAGACGCGCGTTTATGGCATCTTGTACGAGTCTCGCTAGCAAGGGGTTCAAGAAACCGCAAAGTTGCGAGCTCAAGGATGAGAGAGGCCATCAGTTGACCCCCCCAAAGCCTTGGGGTGTAGGGGGTCTTGAAATCGGTGCAGCAAAACCAACTGTAATACCCTACATGATTCCCCCCCCCCCCCCAATTTTTGAAGAAAGTAATGAGAATAAGTTTTTCCTTTTTCTTTAAATGTGTATATATATATAGTATTTATTTAGAGAAAGAGACTCATTCCCTTAAAGGTCACTGACCAAAGCCCTTTGGAGGGTCTCAGCGCCGGGCACCCGAGGTGTGTCGCGAGTGGTGGCCTTGCCCCCAGTTAACCGCCCGAGCGGTTTGCCCTTTGCGGAGGTTTTTCGGGGGACGAATCGTTGGGGGGACTGCGGGTTGGTTGCTTGGTTGGTTGGGTTGGTTAGTGGGTTGGTTGGTTGGTTGGTTGGTAGGTAGGTTGGTTGGTTGGTTGGTTTGGTTTGGTTTGGTTTGGTTTGGTTTGGTTTCGGTTTGTTTCTTTTCCGGTTTGAAAAAGAACAATGCCGGAGATTCCCCCATATCGTTTGCGCTTCGTGGTCTTGTGCTGCAAGAAACAGCAAGACTTCCGTCGGATACCCCTTAGTTGCTGAACTCGTTCTTGTGGACGGCTGGGATCCACCGAACCTCGAAACCGATTCGGCTCCAAACCAAGTCTTGCGAGAAGCTGATAGGTGCTGAACTGGGTCCAAGTTGAGGGATCCCCAGAAGACTCCAGAGGTCTTTCATTTTTGGAGAATTGAAGTAGATTCTAGAGATGGCTCATTTTGGTTTAGAGGAGTTCGCCTTGCCACTTTCTCGGGGGTTCATTTGATTCCTTCCCCAGATGATCTTCACGAAGATCCTCAGCTCCGGTGCGCTGGCGGCGCTCTTCTTTCAGGGAAGCGCCCAAGGCGCGGACGGCTCATCGCTTTTTGTCCGGACGACCTTGTCATCTCGGGGCCTCTGGACATCAAAATGGTTCCATGTCCTCCAAACGGAACCCGCAGGAGGGCACGGGTCTTGGTTTGAGCTGTCATTGGTTGGTCCTTCAGCTCAGGTCCCCAAACAAAACTGTCACCTTGACAAGACACACATGACGCAATTTGCCAAGGGATCCGCAAGAATCCAAACAAGGGATCCACCATGACCTCGTGGTTCCGCCCTCTCCCGGCCACCGCGCCGGGAACGGTTTCGCCCGTTTCACACCAGGAGCTGCAACTCCCTGGTCCTAGCAGAAATCTCATGAAAGCATCACGACCATGTCCGCAAATACCCAACTTCATATTCCACTGGCCCCAGCCCGTTTCAGTGAGACTAACATGGGACCTCACCAACTTGTGATGCTCCGCGGCCTGCCTTTGATCGACCGGAGAACAAGACAAGAACAGAGCGCATGCGGATCATCTTCCGGCCCGTTTCAAGGGCGTGCCTATCCGATCGCCGGGAGCACTGGATTTGGAGCTTCATGAGAGCGTTGCGGTCTTGCAAAGGGCAAGGCACCACGTTGCGAGCGGGAAGGGACACTTCCGCAACCCGGGGCTCCAATTCCCCTCCCACCAGATCCTGGGCCGACCTTTTGAAACATGAAACCCGCCTCGTGCCTGAAGCGCTCCAGCCTGTTTTGTTCTTTTTGGTGAGGACACCCCAATTTTGAAACCACCCCCCCCTCCCAGTGAACCACTTCCGCGGCTTCGAGGCAACGACTCCGAGGCGGCATGCCTCTCGCCTGGGGAATAGGGAATCGCGACCTCGTCGGGTTTTGGGGACTCCCCCGAAAAAAAAAGAGGGGGTTGGGGGGTGGGGGGGGGGGTGGTGGGAAGTCTTGGTGGTAAGGTTTGGGTTGAGTAAGTGACCAACTTGTTTTCAATACTTTTGCGCCCCAAATTTGTGGGGATGTCCCGGCATGGTTTTCCTGGTTCCATCCGTTCTGGGGGTTTCTCTTTCTCCCCCTTAACACGGCGGTCGTTTCGCAAGATCGCTTTTTGCAGCCTCACAGACCAGAGAAAAAGGGGTTGAGGGGAAGACTTGGGGGCAAGTGGATCCTAGAATTCTTTGGCGTCTCAGCCAGCCCCAGGATGCCCAAATGGTGCGTGCGTGTGTGAGAGAGGAACATGCACAGGATCTTGCCCTCGCCAGGGCGTAATTCCCATTCTCAAGCACACACACACACAAACACACGGTCCCCCCCGCCTTGGCTGGTGGCTCCGAGCCTCTGCAACCTGAATCGCGCATGTTCAGCGGCCGATTGATCTTTTGTCGGGAGAGCTGACTGCCTGAGTTTTGAGCGGGATTTTCCGGAACTCGCACGGATCCCCCGGTTTTAATTCATGGCCAAAGTCCCAGGGAGTAACACTTTGACGTGTCATGGGTTTTCGGACTGCCTCCCACTTCGGTATTGCAGGATCGACGATGTTTTCCTTTACACCTTGAGTACCATTTGAGTGGCAAACAATAAGCTTGGACATTTTTGTTCTGGGCAATCCAGTCAACTGGGTCAAGACTTGGCACCATTTGTTGCATCTTTGCCCTTGAATCACGTGGCGGGCTTGGCTTGTTGAAGGTTGATGCAGTGCAGTGGACATGTCATGCATCAACCAATTCGGGGGTCTCCAACCCTATTTCATATTTTTAGAGCAGAGCACATATGAATCGATTAAGCCATAAGCAACGGTGAATCAACGTACACATTCAGCCTTTGACAATTATTATAATATAATATATATATATATATATATTTACACAATACTACAGATACCAGGGGTTCATACTTCATATACAGACGCATACATTCAGCCTTTGACATATGCCGAAAGATGATTTTCTGTGTGGCCCAGATGTGGGTCCAACTGCTGAAGCCGAGGCATCATCAACGGCAGCCTGGGCCTGACACTGGTGTTGGGCCTCGCAGCCGCGCTGGTGGGAGATGTCATCCTCTATGGGCTCTCCGCGCTGAGGTTGGGTGAGGGGGGGGGGGGCTGGGGGCTATCCAGGATTACTCGCTCAGCAGGCAAAGAGTCTTGCCACACCTTCCGGTCAGCTTCCTGTTGGGATCCCACTTTGGAGCCCGTTTGTAGGAACACCTCGAAGAATCCACCAAGGTTGATGGGGGTTGGATGGCGGGGCCCGTCCCCTAGTGGATCCGAACCTCGGTTTTTCCACCCCGAACACCTACAAACCACCAGAGTTCAGCCAAGAGACTGCCAGGCAGATCTTCGCAAAGCCTTGGGGGTTTGAAGATCTGGCGGAAAGACGAAGGTTTGATGAGCTTTAGAGGTGCTGTTCACTTGGACATCGGCATGGACACCACCAGTGGGGTGGGGTTACGACTGATTTGGCGCATGATCCGATTCCCGCAACTTGGGATTGATGGCATGCTGCAATTTACCCTTCTGCAAGGCAAGTGCAGTGTGCAGGGACGATTTTTTTGTTTGTTTGAGGGAGCTGTACAGCTCCTTCGGCGGGAGGGTACCCAGATGCGACCGGGCTCACCTTACCTTGCTATGGAAGTTTCCGACCAAAGCACCAGCCACAAAGGGCCGTTGGTGCCGTCTGCACCAACGGCGAGATGGGATTCAAGGGAGCTCACCAACGCAAGAAACGGGAAAGGCAACAAATCCGCCGTTGTGAAGAACAAGCACCGCTCTCCTTTGCCGCTTGATCTTTCTTCCAGAACCTTTGTGATACAACCGCTTTGTTTGTTTCATTGTCCTTTGCAGACCAAAACAGTGATTACCTATTACTCCTTGGTATATATATATATATATGCCGAAGATGCATGTCCTTTTAGGGGACCCCTCTAAAAAAGATGAGCCCCCGGAAAGTGTGGTAAATGGACACATGGACGAAAACCTGCGGTCCATATCCTGGTGGTTTTGTTTTGACCCATACCCACATCTATTTGTGGGGAGTCAAGCTCATGGCAGGGGTGTAAACCATGGGTGAAACAGAAGCAATCTAGGGCTATCTTCCATTTCCATTCTTTCCCGACCACTGTTGGAGGGGCCTTTACCCCCATATTAATAAGCTGGGGTTGATTCAGGGATCTTCCAACAATTCTTTCCAGGGATCCGGATCTTTCTAGAAAACCTCAGGAAACCCCGGGGAAAACGGATCCGGTTTGCGCAAAGAACCATGGTTGGAAAGAATGGGGAATCAACCCTTAGAGTTTCGCCGTGAACATCGGGGCGGGTTATCAAACCTGGGAAATAAAATAAAAATTCGCCTGAGCTCCCGGCGGTTTTTTGCTTCTCCCGCGGAACATCGGGGAAATCAATCAAAGCATGAACATAACCCGAGGTCCGCACGGACAAAAAAACGTGTGGGCCCACGAAGCCAGAAATCGTCCAAGGGAACATGACGTAAAATCCCTCAGGTCCTGGCCAGGGCAACCCATTTTGGGCTTGCTCGTTTTTGACCCACCGCCATGTAGGCTCCCCACAAATGGATGTGGCTCAAATAAACCGGTACCAAAATGGAACCCTGGTAAGTGGAAACGTGGACCAAAACCTGCGTAACCGGTCCTGTTTAATTTTGAACCACACCCACATGGATGTAGACCCAGGGAGCAACGAAACGCCAGGAAGCAGAGCTTCAAGTCGGCGCGGAGCAACCCGGGGCTGCAGCTGAAGGTCAAGGAGTGGCGGGTGAGGGACCTGCTCTTCTGGGCTCCTCGGCGGGGATAGAAGGGCCAAGGTTGGGTCCCCATGGTCGTTTTTTCATTGGTTCAAATCAATTAGCTACATGTATATACCCCAGAGGCTCCAGATAGGTTTAGGGTCTTCAAGCAACCTGGTTTTGAGACCCCCAACCACCTCCGGGGTGTCTCATGGAGGGGTCGGCGACATATGTATAATTTATATATATATATATATATGGTAGGATGCCCCTCCAATATCCAAGCCAGGTTGTTGGAAATTTATGTTTAATGGAGCTTAGAACATGGTCTACATTGACCATACATGGTAGATGACAACCAGCAGCTCTCTTTTTTTTTTGAGCAGGGAGAGTGGAAAACATACTCTCCGTTTTGTTTCCTCTCTTGTTGGGGATCCTGTTGATATCAGATTCGGACCTTCGTTAATGGGATTCCCCCCTCCCCCGCGAACAGTGCCACGAGTCTCTGGGACCCTCTTTAAGTGGAAAAAGGGGTCTGGGTGTATTTAGTATTGCCAATACTTAGTTTAGTATTTTCAAGACTTACTCGCAGATTTCCAGTAGTTAATTTAGTGTTGCCAATATGTAATTTAGCGTTGCCAAGACTTACTCTCTGATGCCCAGTACTTAACATTTAGTATTGCCAGTTCTAAGTTCTCAGATTCCCAGTACTTAATTTTGTATTGCCAATTCTAGATTCTTTTTATTGCACGACATTCCCCACCCCAAACAAGCTTGACATCAAAGTAGACCCAACAGTCAGACGAAGGATGAGGGGCTCCTGTTGGCACCCAGATCTCAGGACTCTAGCCGCCGCAACCGTAAAAGGCAAAGGCTTTGACATGGTAGTTGTTGTTTTCTGTTTGGTTTGAACTTTCTCGGGAAACGCTTTCCATTCTTCGACACCCTTAAGTCCCGGATGAATCGCGAAAAGATTCTCTATAGACGCCGCATTTGAAGGTCCAAGAACCGCCGGCGTCTTAGAAAGGCGACTCCGAAAGGCGACCCCCTTTCGGAAGGCTGCGTTGCAACTCAGAAGCCGCGAAGCTTTGGGTGTGCGGTCTATCCCACCCCAAAGCGGGATCCTTGAAGTTCAGCCCTCTCGCCTTTCGGCCTCAGAGTTCAACTGCAAGGGTAGACACCCAAAAAAGGCCCACTGACTCAGGCAGGATTTTGGACGTTTCCCCCCCTCCCCCCCCCCAAAAAAAAAAGAGAGAAAAGAAACAACACAAAAAACAACAACAACAATAAATACACATAGAGAGAGGCTACGGCAACCACAGGTTGCAGATCCAACGTCCAGGTTTGGCTTTCTTCGGGTGTGAGTTGATAGCATGGCATATGTCCAGCCGTTTGGAGTCTCCAACTGGAAAAAATCATATGGGTGGCTCGTCTTTTTCAAGTGAAGCCCCCCACCCTTTTGACCAAACCTGACGTTTGGGGATTGGCCCCTCTAAAATGAAAACGGCCCAAACCAGCAACCCCCCGAAAGGTCCGCTTCCATGTTAACTGGTGGGACCCTTGGGGTAGTTTGAAAGAGAAACTAAAGAAATTCGAGGCTCCCCGATTTTGAGACAAGCCCCATTTGGTTTCAGGTTGCTGTGATCTCACGTGTTTGTTTTCGCGACGGCAGGGCTTGGAAGGTCACGCCGAATTCGAAATTCGGCAGATCCGAAGTTCGGCCGAGGCGATCACTCTCCTGGCACCTCAGCGGAAAGAATGGCGGGTGTGGGGTGGGCAGACCTCTGATTTTCCTGGGTGGTTCTCAGTCGTCCGGTGCTGAGGTTCTTAGGTGTTTGGTTGGTTTAGTAGGGGGTTCCATTTCGCCCAGCTTTCCGGAGAAAACGACCACACGGCCACTTCACATTAACATTTGCTGCGAGTGGAGGGATCCATGAAGCCAAGCCAACCACAGTAGGTGACATGCTCGGAACCTCCAGATGAATGTCTGAATGCCCCATTAAACAGCCGTCAGTTCTCTCCTATGTACCAATCTTCTTGGGTTCCAATCATGCTGAGATTTGGGCGGAACTGGGGTTGGTTCCCTACAAGCCATGGTCCTAACTTCTCAGACGTAGGTTGAGCATCCAAGTCAATAGGCATTGTCCGAGCCGGCGCCTCCCCCGTGTTTTCTTTTTCCTGGTGCGCTGAGCCTTATTTGAACGTCGTTAGCCCGGCAAGTTCCTACCGGGGTCCCGGTGGGCGTTGGTAGGTCCAACATAGCTGACAGGTTCCTCTTGGAACAGTTGAGATCAGACTCGGAAACAAAATCGAGCTAGACTCTTCTCGGGCATGACAGTGTCAAATTCAAGCCAAATAGGGCAACCCTGAAGAACCTCAAACCTCAAAAGAACCACACCCTCAGCTACGCTCAAAACAACCCTCAACACCCCTCCCGCCCGCCAAAAAAAGAGACACAATATACCCTCCACAGCCCTGAAAGGGTCTCAACAACTCTCCAATCACCCAGAAACCAGTATTCGCCCTTGAAAAACATGTCTAGTAGGGATAGATTCCCTTTGAAACCAACCAGCTATTTTTGGTTTTCAATGGTCCTTTTCCCTAACCCCGCCCAGGCGTTGGTGCTCTCCATCTACGTCATCATGGTCTTCTTCGCCACGGTGACGACTGCAGACTCCGACGCCTGGGCGGCGGCCGGGGGCTCAGCTCAAGGAGCTGAGGTTCCAGCGGGGGGGGGGGGGGGGACCGTGGCGGTTTTCGGCGGTTTGGGGTTTAGCTTAAAGAATGGCTCATGGAAATTCGGGGGGATTTGGGGGGGGGTCGTTTTTTTTTGTTTTGGCTGGAGCCACTAAGATTATTTTTGGCTTTTCTTTTGGTCTCCCCTTTAAAACCAACCAAAGACGGGTGTTCTCAAAGAAGGACAGACCCCCCCTGCTTTGTTTCGGGAAAGGCAAGCCCCTTTGTGGGAGTGTATTTTTTGAGGGTTTTCCTTATGGATCCCCTTTACAGCCAAACATACGCTTACAAAAGCAAGACAGCCTCACATTGCGTTTTTTTGAGGGTAGCCTTTTTGGGTGTGGTCGAAAAGGGAAACCAACGCACCATCCATTTTGGAGGTTCTCATATTTTGAGATATCCTTAAATACACCTTTATAGCCATGGTAGAACCAAAAGCCAATGGGCCAACGCTACTCAAGAGGAACCTGAGGGGAAGTCGTGCCAAACTGAAAGGGTTTGCTTGAACATAGATGACAGCCAACATGAAAGAGGACTTGTGTCCTTTGAAATTCAGTTTGCTTGAAACATAGATGACCACTCACCTGAAAGTTGGACGTTGTGTCCGTTGAGCGTCAGTTTGCTGGAACACCCACCTGAAGGAAGTTGTGTTTAAAAGGCAGCTTGCTTGAACATAGATGACCACCCACCTGCAAGAGCTAAGTTGTGTTTGAAGCTCAGTTTTCAAACTCGATGAATACCCAGCTGAAAGATCGAAGCGGTGGTTGAGAAGTCAGCTTGCTGAACATGGATATGGATGGGCGAGTCAACTGACTTGTGTAGTTTGAGTCAGCGTGGTTCTCAGTGCCATCCAGGAGTGGCAGTTACCTTTTGGTTCTCCGGGCTCCTTAGTTCGCTTGTTCCTTTTTAGTATGTCAACATATCTTGCCCCAACCTGCTTTTTGGGTATATCCTCTTTTGGGAGAGGATGCGGAAGCAACAGCAAGCCTGAAAAGTGGCCATTCACCCAAGCGGAATGTAAAACTGGAAGGTACCGGAGAGGATTTGAACCGAGGATTGTGTGGGTGTTTTCGGTTTGGTGCGTGGCTCTCGTTTGCTACCTGATAATCACCTCAAACAGGGGATGTGGTTACTTGCCAACAAAGAAGAAGTGCCCAGGTGCTTGGTATCGGGTGTTGGAAGACTCCTTTCACAAGTGGTGGTGGTTCAAAGGAGAAACAAACATGGAACCTGAAAGAGGGTCCCTGTTAGGGGAAATTGGTCTTCTGGTATTTTCGGGGTCTGATGTCATTTCTCAACCGGGTTTTGTTTGTGACTCATCTGAGCTTTGCCAGCGGGCTTGACCGAAGAAGTAAGCCACTGGATTGGGCCAGATTTCAGTAAACTTGGAACCCTCCGAGAAGCCGACCACGAGCTGAGCCGCAATCAAAACCTGGGAAAGTGAAGAATAGCAAGGAACCCTCTTGATTCTTACATGGCCTTGGATTGACGATTTTGATGCCAGGTTTTGATTGTGAAGCTGACCCAACTACTTTTTGAGAAGACCAAGACCATTTTTGTGGTAAGCACCGGGAAGGTTTTGATGGCTCACACCCATTACGAAGCCCACCAAATGGACTCTCTTCTGGCCAATCAACTCAACCCTACCAAAGACCCAAGGGAAACCAAGAAATAAACATTGGGTGTATCTCCTCATGTTACGGAGCAGCAACGGAGCACACTTATTTTTTTTCTTGCGGCTTTAGACATATATGTACATATATATATATATATATTCTACATGGTTTTGACCCTTCAAACATCAGCTTCTGAACCAGTTGAAAGTGAGTTTTCGTTTGACGGGGGGCAATGCGTGCTCAACGAAGTAACCAACCTGAAGGGCACCCATACGGGTGTGTTAGCATGACCCCATTCTGATACCTTTACTGACACGGGCTCCCTTTGAGGTAGCCTCAAACAGGTGCTGTGTTAGCTGGGGGTATGAAGAATTGTGGGTTTTCTCTTCCACGGTTTCCCTTTAAGCCAACCGCAAGCCAACCTGAAAGGGTATTGTCTGAAAAACTTAGGTCGCTCGTGTGACCTATGGGGAGTTTTGAGAAGCACCCTAATTGCGGAAGGACACCATCCACCTGTGGTTTCGGTTGGAGACAGACCTATATGGGTGTGAATCTTAATGGGTCCGAGACACACTGGACATCAGAACTCTGGGGATTCAGGTAACCACCAACCACTTTTGGGGTGAATCCAGCTCAAATTCATAGCCCAAAAAGGGAGCCAGGGTCGTCTTTTCCACTGAAGTGCACACCGCCCTTGAAATGGCCGGGGGGGGGGGGCTGGTTATGAATTCAGTGGACAAGTTGCAAGCCGTATGGATCGCCGGCTCGAGCGAGCCGCCCCCCGCTGAGGCCGCCCTGGTGATTCTCCTCGAGGAGTTCTTCTTCGCGCCCTTCCTGACGGCCGCGGGCTACGCGCTCCTGGCGCCTGGGAGTCGTGAAATCCGAAAGTTTTTGGCCGCTCCGCGAAAGGTCTGGGCAGGTCACCCCCTTTTGGCAAACCTCCCTGTCTACTTCCGTGATTGTTGGAGGGAGGGTAGCCCGGAAACTTGGCGGTTTGGAGTCGTCTGGAGTTGGATGTTTTTGCCGGGCCTTGTGCTTAACATATTGGTCTCAAGGGATTTGGCGCCCCAACCAGGCAGGGTTTCGGTGTCCTTGTTTCCCTTTGCACCCAAAGGGTACCCTCAAAGACGAACACACCCATATCACCCATATGGCCGTTGTGAGCTAGAGATGTTTGGTGAAGGCATGCTGGCGAATGCACAGCTGGTTTCGGAGGGTCTCTGACTGGGTTCCAGGGTTGGGCGGGCTTCTCAAAATGGCTTTTGAATTTTGGAAACCGGTGGTTTCCTGGTAATCATCATTCAGATGCCAGGGTAATGACCTCAATATGTTTGTATTTGAGGGTGTTTGTCCCAACAACTATTTTCTCGATGGGCCCTAATAGGGGCAGCTGTTCTGGATGGTTCGTTGAGGATATGACCTGGGCTTGTTTTGTAACATGTGTGCATAGTCTTACTGGAAGTCTATGCCCTTTGGAGGTCGGTGGGAGGAGGGTTTGAATTTGGTTGTGTGGGTTGCTGTGTCATGCTTTGTGTTGATTAAACTGTAACAATAGGTGTGTTGACCAGATGTTGATTCAGCTCTTGCGTCGATGTTGCTCGCTTTCTGTCCGGGTGCCATCCTACCCGATGCTTGCAAAGATGGCAGGCCGCCAGGTATTCGTTGATGGAAACGATCAAAGTCCACGTTGTGGATGTGGCTTTTGTGGGCCAACTTGTGAGCTTTTCTTCGAATACCACAAGTACCTTCAAAAGGCAGCTTTGCTTGTGGGGGCAAGTCAGGAGAACCACACGGATATGTTTTTGGGTCGCTTTAGACCGAGGGGCCCAGATCTTTTTCCGCGGAGTGGTTCGCTTCGCATCGCAAGCAAGGCGACCTACACATTGGAGGGCGACCCCATGACGGTCCACACCCTCAGGACCCGCAAACAAGAATACATCCGTCTCAGGTGGGGTTTGAGCCTGGGAACTTAGGACTGGCGGCCCCCGATTCGGTTTTGCTGCTTTTCATATATATATATATATATATATACACATATTTTTTTTGGGGGGGGGGTCGCGTGAACTTGCGTGAAAAGCCTTTTGTGAAACAAACACCTTGAACCAGTTGTTTCCTTCTTGGGTGAAGGAGCCAAACAATTCCTCCTGCTCGAATACAGGCGGCGCCCCATGTCTCAATCGTCACGGGCCTGATGATTGGCTTCCTCTTGATCCCCGGCAAAGTTTTCGGGGCCAGTTCCTTTTTTGGCACCGTGGGCTTAGGGTTTGGGATTGGAAGATAAATGCAGCCGTGGGAACAAACCACCCTACCTTGCTCCGAGTTGCCCCGGCATGGCGGGCCTGAATCAATTGTAGCTGTTGAAGGTTTGCGACATCAGAAACGGGTGTCCTTTCAAAGTGAGTGTCCTTGTGGGGGTGTTCAACTGCCCATGCTGCCCTGGGGTTTGCGGTTTCTTCGCGCAGGGAAAGAGATGATTTTCTTTCGCAAGTCAATTCACGATTTAGAAAGGATTTGGTGCGCTGGGGTGTTCTCCTCCAAAAGTGATAAATCCCCACTAAAACCGGGGACATCCCCATATTAACAAACAGGGGTTTATTCATCCCGGGTCAACATTATAGTTGATTCCCCCTAAGATATTGGTGCGTCTTTTTTTTGAGGGTACTCCTTTTTTCTGGTTTTAAAGGGAAACCAAAAAGAACACTAGCAATAGACACGCCCATATTGCGAGGGAACACGTTGAAGACCCGACAACATGTATTTAGTGGGTTTGGTGAGCCTCTGGAAGCGATCCGAACAGGGCATTTGTTCTACTCTTTTTTTTTGTTTCGTACCACTGGCATGTTGCCGGGGCAAAAAAGGAAAACACAAAACAGGATCGAGCCCGGCACTTTTGGGGGCGAACCCGACAACATGTCTAGATGTTGTAGACTTTTTGTGGGAATTTGGGGAACATGTTCCATAAAACTTAGAGAAGTGACAGACCTCCTGAAGCTTAACTTCTGGAAAGAGATCAGGTTTGCGTTGACCCACCAAAAAGCTTTGCCCAGGCCGACTCAAAAGGGGCGGTGAGAGCCAAACAGCAGGTCCCATCCAAACCAACGGGCCCCACCAACGGGGCCCTCGTGGAGGGATCTCTGTTTGCCCCATTTGCTTTGTCGTCCCTGGAAGAAATGAGAAGACCTTTCCAGTGATAGAATCCCTAACTCGAAAACGAGTGGATTTTAGTAGTGATAGAATCCCTAAAAACACCAACAGGGGAAACAACAACAACAACAAGCCAACAGGGGAAAACACCAGCAACAAACCAACAGATAAACAAAAAAAAAAAAACAGAAGAACAAAACAAACAACACCCACAGCAAAAAACAACAACAGCAAATGGATTCATTTTAGCCAATGGAAGGAACTCGTGACGCGTTACGAAGTCGGGTTTCGGCCGATTTTTCGCGCAGGACGGCGGCCTCCCAGGTCCAGGGCCAGTGCCCCTTGCGGTTCTGGGGGTGAACTTTTGGGAGGGGTCCCGTTTCAGGTGCCTGGACCCTCCAGAGTTCCAACCTAAAGATGGGTTGTTGCCGAAATTTGTGGTTGGCGAAGGTTCATTTTTCTCCAAACAGTTTACTGTTGGGGGTTCTTACTCTTCTAGAAAAGAACGGGCCGCATGCTGCCAGATCGCCGGGCCGCATGCTGCCACATCGCCGGGCCGCATGCTCGCAAGTGCGCGCATTTACGTGTCTCCCAGTACGTGCCTTCATTTGTCTCCCAGTGCTGCATGCTCGCCAGTGTGCGCATTTGCTTGTCTGCCAGTATGTGAAATCATTTGTCTCACAGTGCTGCCAGATCGCCGGCCCGCATGCTCGCAAGCGTGCGCATTACTTGTTTCCCAGTATGTGTCTTCATTTGTCAACCCAGTGCTGCCAGATCGCCGGACCGCATGCTGCCACATCGCCGGGCCGCATGCTCGCAAGTGCGTGCATTTACTTGTCTCCCAGTACGTGCCGTCATTGTTCTCCTAGTGCTGCCAAATTGCCACACGGCATGCTCACCAGTGTGCGCATTTACTTGTCTCCCAGTATGTGCCTTCTCTTGCCTCCCAGTGCTGCCAGATCGCCGGGCCGCATGCTGACACATCGCCGGGCCGCATGCTCGCAAGTGCGTGCATTTACGTGTCTCCCAGTACGTGCCTTCATTTGTCTCCCAGTGCTGCATGCTCGCCAGTGTGCGCATTTGCTTGTCTGCCAGTATGTGAAATCATTTGTCTCACAGTGCTGCCAGATCGCCGGCCCGCATGCTCGCCAGCGTGCGCATTACTTGTTTCCCAGTATGTGTCTTCATTTGTCAACCCAGTGCTGCCAGATCGCCGGACCGCATGCTGCCACATCGCCGGGCCGCATGCTCGCAGCGTGCATTTACTTGTCTCCCAGTACGTGCCGTCATTGTTCTCCTAGTGCTGCCAAATTGCCACACGGCATGCTCGCCAGTGCGCGCATTGACTTGTCTGCCAGTATGTGCCTTCATTTGTCCCCCAGTGCTGCCAGATCTCCGGGCCGCTTTCTCGCCAGTGTGCGCATTTACTTGCCTCCCAGTATGTGAAATCTTTTGTCTCCCAGTGCTGCCAAATTGCCACACGGCATGCTCGCCAGTGCGCGCATTGACTTGTTTCCCAGTGTGTGTCTTCATGTGTCAACCCAGTGCTGCCAGATCGCCGGGCCGCATGCACGCAAGTGGCGCATTCACTTGTCTCCCAGTATGTGCCTTCATTTGTCCCGCAGTGCTGCCAGATCTCCGGGCCGCATGCACGCAAGTGCGCGCATTCACTTGTCTCCCAGTATGTGCCTTCATTTGTCCCGCAGTACTGCCAGATCTCCGGGCCGCATGCTCGCCAGTGTGCTCATTTAGTTGTCTCCCAGTATGTGTGTTCACTTGTCTCCCAGTGCTGCCGCACAAGCGCGTCCGCGGTCGGGGCACAAGAGTGTTCTTTTTTCGCGCATATAAGCGTATCTATGTCGGCGCGTAAAAGTGTTCTTTGTTGGCGCACAACTGTTGGCGCAAAAGCGTGTCCACTGTTAGCGCACAACAGTGTCCGTTGTCCGCGCGCAAGTGTGTTCACTGTCGGCACGCAAGATGCCGCATCATCGTACTCAGTGTTGGCGCACACAAGTGTTCCCTGTTGGCGCGCAAGCGTGTTCACTGTCGCCGCACAAAAGTGTTCCTGGTTGGCGCATCGTCGCCCAAGAGTGCGTATCCATCGTCGGCGCATAAAAGTGTTCCTTGTTGGCGCAGACACTGTTCGTGCTCAAAAGTGTTCATGATTGACGAGCAAGCGTGTTCACTCGCGAATAGAAGTGTTCGCATCGCGTTCTCGGCGCGCAAAAGTGTTCTTTCCTGGGGAGCGTGCGCGTGCCGGCCAGGCTCGGCATGAAGGAGTTTTGCAGCGTTTGCGGCGCTCAAGATGCTTCGTGTTCGTTTGTTGCTGCGTGCCGGAGGGATGCCATGTCTTCTTCATGTGACCAGCTAGGGATACGAGCCCTTGTGCAGTCACCTTTTGTTATTTTCACTTAGTGTCCCACAAGAGTGTTCCTTGTTGGCATGCAAGCGTGTTCACGGTCGGCGCGCAAGGGTGTTCATTGTTGGCGCGCAAGCGTATCCATTGTCGGCGCACAACAGTGTCCGTTGTCGGCGCACAATCCAGCGCGTTCACCGTCGGGGCACAAGACTGTTCCTTCTTGGCGCATAAGCGTGCCCACCGTCGGCGCGCTTTTTTGGCGCACAAGTGTGTCGACTGTCGGCGCACTAAGTGTTCTTGTTGGCGCATAAGCGTGTCCACCGTCGGCGCACAAAGGCGTCCGTTGACGGCGCACAAGTGTGCTCCCTGTCGGCGCACAAGAGTCTTCCTTGCTGGCGCATCATACAGTGTTCCCTGTTGGCGCACAAGCGTGGTCACTGTTGCCGCGCAAGAGTGTTCCAAGAGAAAAACAATTTTGGGCGGTCCCTCACGAAGACACAAATTTGTTTTTGGCCTGACCTGCGTAGTTCAGCATTGTGCTCTTACAATCTGTTCGGGGTCACGCTGGTATAATTATTGGGTAGAAAAAGAAGCACCGCCCGTTTCTTGAGGGTCCCAAGCCCATTTTTCGAATCCGACGAATCGCGCATTGGCCGCCTTTGGTTTCCATTTCACCAACTAAAAGTTAACCTTTTTGCAGGGGATCTGAGGACAGTCGCTGGGTTTTGTCCAGCTGAATCGGGGGCTTGCTACACTTTGGGAGCCATGGATAAAAGACGATTGGAACCACTTGCAACTTGTTTGTTGTTCAGGCCGTGAACAAACGCGATGTTTTTTTCTTCAAGTGGGGGTGGATCTTTCGAGGTACCCGGAGTATTCCACCTCCCGAAGCCCCTAAAAAAGTCGGCCCGATGAACTTTGGGCCGGCAAGCTTGGAGCGAGGAGAGGGTCCCGACTTTTTGCCCTATTGTGTTTCCCTTGTTCAGCAAGACGGCATCCCCTGCAGCAACTTTGACGTGGGTTTGGTTATGTGGGTGTTTCAGTCCTGAAGGACTGTGTCCTCACAAAAATGGATCCCTCAACCCTGGACTCGAGTGGAAGTGCCCCTTCACCCCATTGGCTCCCTTGCGCAGACTCCCTTTGCGAGACGGCCTTCCAGCGTTGGATTTTTTTTGCGACCAGACCGTTCCCTTCGGCGTTGGATTTTCATGGGGTGGACCCAGGCCCCATCCGTCAGGTACCGGGCCTGGGAGGGGCCCTCAGCCGCAGACTTCCGGGTTCCCATGCCGCCAGAGGTGGGTTTGGGGTGGGGTGCGTCGCACGCTATACTGTGAGGTAGCAGCCAATTCTAAGGATAATTTCCGGATATTTGTCCGTAGAAGTAATATGGGCAGTGGGTCGGGTTCTCAATCAGACATGTGGCAGCATGTGTTGTGCAGCGCGAAGCATTTACAACTACATGTATATCCCAGTCAGGGTCCAGTTCACGTTGTGCACAAAACAAAGTTGGAAAAACACCATTTCAGCAAGTGGATGTTCTGCACTTCCAATCATGGGATTGCCGCCGTCTGAAGAGGTTCGTCCATGTGCTGTGAAACCAACGGAAAAACGAAACTCCAAGGGAGGGTCTTTTGGAGGAGCTAGCTATGAAGGCCAACCCATGCGTTCAAAATCCGAGAAGCCAAGCAAGTTGGTTTACCTCCGAGTCGCCGTTTTATCATGGCCGACTCATGCGGGTGCGGCATTTGTTGAGCGTACTCCTACCAAGAGGAAAAAAGGAAAACCACATTGCTTTCGAGGGGGTCCTAAAAAATGACATGACATACCCATGCCTTGAACGGAAAACTCCCCCCCCCCCTGGCCGTCTCAGCCAGTATGTGTTTTGAGTGAGTGAGTCGGCGCCGAAAGTGCGGGAGCTGGTTTCCAAGATGTATTCGGTCAGGTTCAGGAAGTGAGGGGTTAGGTGAAAAGGCGACCCGCCGCCTGCAACCAGTCCATCCAGCGCTTCCCCGCGCGCGTTTTCCCCCTGTCATCTCTCACAGTAGTTCTCTCTGAGCCAGCCGTCAAGCACGTTTCACGGGAACCCTGTCGACAACAGCTCTAGGGGATCCGGATCTTTCTAGAAAACCTCCTTTGAAACCCAGGGAAAACGGATCCGGTTTTTGGAAAGAACGATGGTTGAAAAGAATGGACATGGAATCAACCCCTACAGCTGAAACGCCAGGGCGGCAACCTGCGGGCCCTTGGCTCCGCGCAGTCTGCGGCAGAGGCGGGCTGTGCTATTTCCGGTAGACTCAATTTATATTTCTGACAGACTCAAAAAGGCAAACATGTTCGTTTGGCGTGCCAAGGACCGAAAATAGGGCTGCGGATCCCCGCCCTTTGTCGCAGCAAGCGTGCTTTGGCAAGACAAAGCCTTTCCTTTTGCAAAGGGGTCTTGTGTTGGGGAACCTTTTCGCTCAGCTCCAACCCAACGTTGGCTCTGGCGGCGATGAGGCCGCTGGCGATCCAGTTTTAGTGTGGGGCGGATCCAAAGCTTTGCTCGTGCGTTGGAAGCCCAGAACTTGAAGGTGCGTCGGAGGTTGCTGTTGACAGGGTCTGATGAGAATCAAACACTTGGGTCTCCCATAGGCCCACGTTCCCCAGAACGGGGCCCGCAAAATGGCGGTTTCATTTCTTTTTAAATCGACCGAAAAAGGTCCCTAAAAATTGTACGCGCCCAGAAATTCTGGACTTTGGGTTAAATTGGAGGATCATGCGAGGCATGCACCACTTCTGCCGTTCATCAGGCGCAAAAAGGCACGCTCGCACTACGGATGGTCAACGTTACACTGCTTTGACCCTGTGAAGGGCCAGTCCGGATGGCTATTCCAACAGTTGCCAGCCGGTTTGCTTCCAGATATTGGAAGGGGACTCTCCCCTCTTCTGGTCGCGAGCTATGTGTTGCAGCTGATGCAAGAGGTCATTTATTCTGCAAGCAGTCAGGCATGTTGCGCTTGACTCAGCTTTATCGTTGGCGGCAAAAGCAACGTTTTTCGGACCCTAGTCAGAGTTGGCTGTGGGTCAAAACCAATGGTACCATTTTGGTTGGTAGGTGAATTCACCACCCATGGTCTATTTGGTTGGATTGGGATGTGAAAACTGGAGGGTTTTTCGAGCTTTTGACCCTTAGCCAGTTGGCTACAGTTCCTCAAGGCTTGGCCGAGGGCCGTGAAGACTTCAGCCTGGTTAGGTCACAACCATGGCGAACACACCCCGGTTGCACCACTTGGTAAAGAACCTGCTGAACTGGCTCAACATCCAAAAAACAACCAAACGTAGGGTTTGGTACCATTTGTAACTTTGCCCTTTACACAAATAAGGCATATAAAACACAAACTCCAAGGTTTAAGGTTTTTTCACGTCGTGAGGTTAAGCTTATCCGGTGGTTTTGGGGATTGGTTTGGGGTAGCTTTTTTCGCGTAACTGGGCACTTCTCAAAATTAGGGGCCTTTTTGGAGGGACTGCCACCTGTGGAAGCTGTTCCTACTTTTTGAGGTAATGGGTATGGGTCAAGATTAAACAACAGGAATTGGACCGCAGGTTTTAGTCCTTTCCATTTACCGATGGGGCCACCCATTCTGGGGTTACCCTTCAAATGAGTCACAATAAAACCCGGTACTTGGAGGTTAGCAAGGACAATCCCAGCCAGAATTGGACGGGTGTGGATATCCGCCTTGGAGCTTCTTTGCATGTTTTGGGGTAGACCATTCTAAAACCAGGGGGGTCTTTTTGCCACTTGTGAGAAAATTGACAAGGAATGCTTCACCACAAAGGGCTCGATCATTTTTCCAGGGCAACAAGACCCCCCTGTCGAACACCGGGGTTTTGATTTGTCTCCAATGGGCAGCCCAAGCTCCACGCCGAAGCCGCAGCCAACTCGCGAGGCGCCGGATGTGCTCGCCCTGGGCGACCGTCAGGAGCGACCAACGTGTGGTTGGACCCGAAAAGCGGTGGATGCAGCTGGGTCCCTGCCAGATGACATTGGACTTAGAAAGACGCCTGTCTGGGGTGCAGATGGGATTCGTTTCTTCTGGTTGAATCGTGTGGGAAGTGATGGGAATGTTCTAAAGCTAGAGAACCCTTGTTTAATTGGGCCAATGTAATCCAGGCCGAAGCAAGCCGCCACCTGCACAGAGGTTTGATCTGCAACCTGTCAGTGAGCCGACCTGTTGCGTTGGGTTTCCCCTGGCGCAAGTTGCTTGTCAAGGTTCAACAGGTCAGCCTTTGTTTCCCAGCTGTTTGGGCAAGTGACCTATTTCTGGTTGGTGAAGTAGTGACATGTACCCAGCTGGGGGTACCAAAGGATTGATGGGTCAGCCCATTTTGAGCAGAGGGAATCACAAAGGAACCCGGTTCACCAGTCTCTGCCTAGCGCCAGCTCAGAGAATTGCGACACGTTATTTCCCCCCCCCCCCGGCGGCTTGCACCTCATCTCCGTCTTTAGGTTTTTTAGAAGTGTGGTCCAAGGGATGTGGTGGCGAAACAGTGAAAGCTTGAAGTTTCATTTTTGCATAGCATTGATTTCTGAAGCTCACTAGAAATGAAGCACGCTGCGAATATCAACCCCGAACCAAATGGCAATCATGGTCACTCATATTTTTTTGGTAGGGGTTCAATAGCTCATTCCGGTTGCATGTCCGGTTCTGGGAAGAGCCCTTGGGATCTTTGGAAGCCGATTGATTTGCCCAGGTGACTGATGGGAGTTGGCTATCCACCCGCGGGATTTGAAGCAGGGCCAACAAGTTGCCGCCTTTCCTGGGGTTCTTAACCCGTTCTTCGGGGCCAGATTCTTCACCAGACTTGCTGCACTCCACTTAGCAAGCTCTCAAGCGAGCACATGGGAAGGAACTTGGGAAGGGCAAAGGGAAAGGAGTTAACCCTTCCAGTTCTTTTCTCTCAGCTCTGGACCTCTCCCGGACGGGTTCCTGAGCTAAGCCGACAAGGCAGTTCACATCCGGACCTGGCAACGGCTCCGACGCAGGGGTTAGGTGACCCGAGGATGACTGCATGTGGGGTTTTGGGGGCCACCGGAATTTCGGGGGCAATCTTTAGGGCACCCGCAGCAATGAAACACATCCGCTTTGGCACAGAATCGTTTCTGGAAGACATCGGATTCAACCCTCCCTCCCCGAACCTCCCCCCCCCAAAAAAAAGAACAAGGCCTGGAAGGAAGTCAGGGGAGTTATGGGGTTCAGTGGAGGTGATTTTTGTTCAAAAGGAGTTCGGATCCTTTCTTCCTCTTGTAGAGGCCCCTCCTTTTCGCACGGAGGCCTGAGCTATGGTTTTCCTACTGGTTGACAGGTAAGCCCCGTGGATCTTAACTCGGCCCGTGTTCTAACGTGCGCGTAAATCCGCCAGGAAGAGGAGCAGGCGCGACATCCGCGCGAGAGGTTCGCTGCCGCATCGGCCCGCATGGTTTTGGAGAACTGGTCCATGAGCCGCAAAACGACTCCACAGCTGCCTTGGGGAGTCCTTGAGGTGTGTGTGCCATTTCCAGGGAGTCGAACTGTTCGCAGACTTGCGGTAGCTTTCCGCTGTTTTCCCCGTAGTCTTTCCGCATTCTGCCCACAGGAAAAAAGTGTCTCGTTCTCAAACCCGCAGCGTTTGATGTCCAACCAGCTGTTTCTTGGCCGCTTTCACTCCGCAGTCTATCAGTTCCGCTAACTATGATTAACGCCCTCAGAAAAAACGAAGTGACACCACGAACGTGTGCGACATATACCATTTGGAGCATAAGCTATCCCCTGATGCTGTAAAAAGCCCCCGATGATGTAAGTGTTGCCTTTAAGCAACATTCTTCAATGCCGTTTTTCCCAAGCAACGTGCAATGTGGCTATCACTTGGGGTCGCTCCAGCGTGTGCTTGGCTCCTTTTTCAGGCAGCGCAACAGCGCGCAGAGGCTGAGGAGCAGAGGAAACTGCAGGAGCAGCGGCTTGGTCTGTGAACCACCCAAGATGGGTCGTGGCCCTGTGGTGTCCCTTGAATGCATCCAAATAGGGTACCTAAGTCCCCCAGTAGTGCCCTTTTACCAACTTTTTTGGTTGGGAGGGTTCCCCTACTAAAAAAAGAATACAGAAAAAAGGGGTACCCTTATTCTATCCTCTCTACTGGAGGACCTACGTATCCCGAGAAGCAGACACCCAGGTTTTAAAGGACACCAACGGTCGCCATTTTTGAACAGCACCGACATACCGGCCGTTTCCTACCTCCGAAACAAGGGGCTACCTTTAGATTCGTCGGTACACACATCATAGAGGTCGGGGGGGACAAATTTCCAGGACACGTCTCGGTTGTGGAAAGTTGGGGCGGGTAAGCACCCTCTTTCTATGATACCTTTGAGGGCTGTGTGGAACTCAACATGCTGCAACCACTTTGATGGTTTCCAAGGAAGCAAAGCGGTGTGTGTGTGTGTCACTAACTGCAAAAGCCACAAGGGGGTCATTTCCCTGCAACCTGCAGGGGTGACCTTGGCAAGAAATCAAAGGGTGAGGACCTCGTTGCCAAATTCCTCCACGAAATGGGTGTCATGCTTATGAGCACCGGACTTCCCCTTGCCCTGGGGGTTGGTCAAGGTTAGGGGCCTTTGTTGGCATCAGGTTCAGAAGGCGGCACATGGCGGCACCCAGTGGGTTTTGCCCTCCAAAGAAAGATGTGCCCGGGGTTTCAGGAAAGGAGACTCCAAGTTGTGGATGCTGGAAAAGAACGCCCCAAGAGACTGTGCAGCTTTTCTGAGTTCCAGGCTCCCCTGTACAGGGAGGGTTCATTTGGATCAACGGAAGTGAGTTTAAAGGGTTGTCCAAAGTGCAATGTTTGAGTTGTCAATTAGAATGACGTATGTGCTTGGTCGACCCCCGAATCCATTTGGGCATCTGAACTTGCCATCTCACCAGGGGTTTGCAGGTTTTTGGGTTTCAGGTCAATCTGCAGGTAGCTGTTGGCGGATCGGACAACGGACAGCCCAGGATCGGCCTTTGGTTCGCACCGGCCCAGGTTGAGGGAGCAACTCGAGAACCAGAAGCGGCAGCTGGAACAACAGCGCCAGATGCAGGCGGGCGGTTGGTAGCGAGCGCCCAACACCATCTTTGTCGGCGCAGTAAAGCAAGAGTCTCTACACGCCCTGGCAAGAATGGAAGATCCCAAAAGGGACACCCCGGGCGGGGAAGTCCCAAGAACAAGTGGCTTTGCCTTTTTGTGAGTTGGTAGCCTTTTGGCGGGGTGGCCTTTTGGGGTTTTCCAACGAAAACACCTCTTATTTCGGGGGTTTTAGGATCACCCAATGTGCGGATCCCAGGTTTGATGGCGACTCAGCTGCCTTCTGCTGTCAACCCAGAATCTGATGGGTGCTTCCAATGAATCCTTCACTGTGGCTCCGGTGGGCCCCGCACCAAAACCCAAAACCCCTGCAACTCGGTGGGTCTACCGGTTTCCTGCGGGGTTTTTGGTAGCAAGGCCGAAGGCAAACCTGAAGTCAATGGGGTTGAATCGCGCGGATCCGAACCAACATTTGAAGTGGCAGTTTCTGTTTTGTTGGTTTCCTTCGAAAACGGCATCCGATAGAATTTGTTGTTGTTTGATTTTCCTGACGGGTTTTGATTTGTTTCCCATTTTATGCACAAACGGCGTACCCTCAAAAAGGCGGACCCACAATGGACTGGTTTTCCCCAACTTCGGCTGGTTTCCCTCAAGACTTGGCTACTCCAAAGGTCAAACTCGAGTTGACTCGTTTCGAGTTTGGCGGAGGGGAGAAAAGGATTTTATCATTTGCTGTGGCTAGGGCATCTCTGAAAAGGGGTGTTGCAAGGAGGCTCCCTAAGGATCCCTAAGGAGCCCCAAGGAGCCCCAAAGATCCCTAAGGAACCCTACGGTTCTCCAACTACCCACCCCCCTTGTTGGTTCCCCCCATTAGGGGTTTTGACCAAAAGAAAAAAACCACGTCCCGCTCCAAAGGCGCAAAGGCGGGCTGTTCTGTTTTCGGTCCCGAAAAGAAGCAAAACAGAAACAGAACGTGATATCTCTCGTGTTCCGTACCGAGTTCCCCCCTGCTTTGCCTCGAAAGTTTATTTTTTTTGGATGAACCGTGGAAGACCCGCCATTTTTCTTGCTGGTGCGATAGGCAGGGAATGAGAAATGGAATGACCCCTATAAGCCATCTCCTCCTTTGCTCGGGAATCCCCACCTGCCTATGGCACCAGCAAGACTTAGAGGACCCAAAAGCGCATGTTCGGCCCGTAGAAAACCTCCCTCTCTTTTGGTTTCCGGGAAAAAAAGAGAGAGAGAGAGAGAGAGAGATAGAGAGACTTGACTGCCATTGGGTTTGATCTTTAGACTTTAACTTTTTTCGGGAAATCAAGTGGTTTTCCACTAAACCCCCCAAGAAGTTAAACTTTTGCAGGGGTGTCAACAACAACTAAGGAGAGCGAGAGAGAGAAGCTGCGTCTGTGAGAGGTGGAGCTGCGAGAACAGCTGATCCGGCAGCAGCAGGAGATTTCCCTTGCCCTTTGGTTGGGTTGGATTTGGCCATGGGCCAAAATCCAAATCGTACCCCCCAGTGAACATCCCAATCCAACCACTAAAATAGACTAAAATTGCAAAATGGTACCATTGGTTTTGACCCACAGCCATTTGGAGGTTGGGTTGGATTTGGAGTTGAAGCTCTACTTGGAGACTCCAGGTAGAGGGCAAAAGGGAAAGTACCTAGATCCCCAGTTGCCCTCATTTTGCAGGTACTTTTGCCAAATGATGGGCTACTAGTGGGTAAAGTGGCTGGAAAAAAGTAGCTACTTGGGGTTCCAGGCAAGGTCCAAACTGATTCAAACCACGTCGAGGGAAGCGGCTTTTCCCAGTGGTTGCTTTTCGGAAGTTGTGCGAAGCAGTGAATGTCTTGTTCGGCCCCACTTTCATCAACCCGGGTTCCAAGTGTTTCAGGCTGTTCCCGAGAACGGCATTAAACTGTGCGAGTCCCTGGCTGATCCTTGGCTTACGACAGGCTGAGGAAGCCCATAGAGAGTTCACGTGGGCCTAGAGGATGTCCTTCTCCCAAAAGCGCACTTTCTTGACTGCTGTTGGGTTGGATCTTTAGACTTTAACTTTTTGGTTGAAACCAAGGGGTTTCCACTGGACCCCCCAAAAGGTTGAACTTTTAGCAGCGGCAACCAAGCTTTGGGCCGAAGAAATTTGGCCATGAAACCTCATAGTCGAGAAGACATGTCCAGTTGCTTTGTTTGGCAGCGACTTGAGGGGGATCTCTTTCAGCCCATGGTGATCGTGGCGTGCTTGGCTCTGTAACGAGGCCAACCTCCAAACAGATTCTTCAGCTAGGGTCTGAGGAATCATCACCTCCACCTGTGGCTTGCAATCTTTGGGCGAATATCAACTCTCAGGGATGGCGTGCGGTAAGCCGCGAAGCCCCCTCCCTCTGCAAAAAAAGGCCTGAGCCACACTCAATTTCTTCAATACCAGGTTTGATTCTTTGTCGATTCTGAGGATCCCAGGCGCTTCCAAGTAACTTTCCCCAGCGCTCTTTTGTCTTTTTTCTGGAGGCCCGGCAAAGAGGGCAGTCCCAGCCGTCTCCTGAGCATTCTTAGCTTGGGATGTCGTGGTTTCCGTTTCACCCACAAGTTCTTCACTTTTCGTGGGGGGTTCTGAAAACGGTTTTCTTTAGTGGTAGTTTCTGTTCAACCCACAAGTTTTAAACGGAAGATCTCCCAGAAAAGGGCCCAGAGGGCTCGGGCGCCCATAGAAAAATCCGCGGAGACCGCTTTGCGCCTTCGCCTTTGCCTCGCGCGCGCGACCTCCAGGAGATCGAGGAGGAGCGGCGCAGGCACCGGTCCCCGCCACCCGAGCGGCCACCGGTGAGGCGAATCCAGATCGAGCGAAGCCGCGGGATTCGGACGGATGTGGAGTCCAACGGGACGAGGAAATGAGTGGCTTGCGGCTTTTGAACGGGAAGTCCACCTTTTGTAAGTAGCGAATTGCCACTTTTGAAGGGGGAATCCCACTTTTCGTAAGTGGGCATGGGATTTTTGTTGGCCCGGGGGCCCGGTTGTTTCTTGCTGTCATGTCCGCAAACCAGACAAATCAATTCTGTCTGAGAGGGACGTCTAGTCCAAGCCTCATTTGCGATCCGTCCCATCCAATACCAGCCAGTTTGTATTTTGTAGGAACTTCCAACCGTGGTACTTTTGCTCCAAAATGTACTTCGCCTGCCAAACCATGGCAGGTGGGTTCCAGCCATGGCCTTTCACCACTTACTAGGTGCCCATTGCTCCATCTCGGGGTCTCGCTCTCTGGAGTTTCGTCGCCACTGCTTTGAAGAGTGGCGCGACCCTGTTCACCACCTAGGGTTGCTTCGGGGTGGAGTTCCCCTTCGAAAGCTGCAATCTACTCGTGTTCTCCATTGAAACTGCAACTTTTGGAGCTTCGCAGAAGGGAAAAATGGCTCGGAACCCCTGTTGTACTCCCTGCCAACGGCTCACCAAACAAAGCCATATCTTACCGTATTCGGGTTGCGAACGTTTTGGACCTGGGACCATCCCTCCTCCGATGCTATGCCTTCGCGTTCCTGAGTTGGGAATGATTGTTTGTAGGGGACCCTTTGGTGCACACCGGTTTTTGGGTCGGAAGTTATGTCCACTTTTGAGGTGGTGCCTTATTAAACCTCATGGCCATTGGGAGTGTGTCTTTTTGAAGGGCATCCATTGCTCCTGCAAGCAGGGGGAAGAGCAACCCTGTTCACCACCTTCTGTCAGGGTTCAACAAGCAGGCTTGTCCGCATGGCTTATGGAAACCAGCAGGACACTCTACAATGGCCAAAACCTGGGCAAAAACCAAGAGTTCGGCCCAAATCTCCTGGACTTGCTGGGGACGAAATCCTGCACCACCTAAGAAGCCCTGGAATGAGGATTCCCCTGTAAATACCCACAAACAATGGTTTTCCCGGGTTTTCAAGTGGTGCAGGATTTCGTCCATCCACAGTATCAAACAAATACCACGCGTTGCAGGCATTCGCAGCAGCCCTGGCAGCAGGATAATCAGCGTCAACTGCCGGGACCTGAGCCCTTTCAAGTCCAATCGACCGTCCGAGGGGGTCATTGCCAACCAAACAAGCCACCGCTATGTTTGTTTCTTCTTTTTTCCCCCTTTTTTTATTTGTTTGACACATTCTCCCAGCTGGCTCAAAAGGGAGTCTATCACTACTGGACATAGTTTCTCATTTTTCCAGTCAGCAAACGGGGCTCATTAAGTCCCCCTTTTGGGAAACAAGTTGTCAAGTTGGCATTTTGCGATTGGTGACCGGTGATGAATGCACAAGTGAAGTAGGGCAGTATATACCCCTCATATAAGTGCTAGCGATTTCATGTCGCCCAAAGGCCCTGCTTCCATTTGCTTATGATCATTTTTTATTTTCCCCTTGTTGGTTTTAATGGAAATCTATCACTATTGGACATGTTATTTTTTTCCAGGGGGCGAAAAAGCAAATGGACGCCTGTTGGTTTTCAACGACCTCGACCAAAGGCGTGAGGCGATCGAAGCGGCGCCTTTCGCCTCCGAGGCCCGGCACGGTGCCCGGCACGGTGCCGCTGCAGGTGCCGCAGATCGTGACGCGGCAGCCGCAGCAGGCGGGGAGTCTGGCGGGGGCTGGAGCGTCGCTTCTCTTGTCGCTGACTCTCCAGGAGTCCATGGGCCCAAAAAAGAACCAAAAGCTGGTCCTTTGGCTTGGGTTTTTGTTTTAGAAGACAGTTCTGGTCCATCCTAGGGGTTCGGCACATTGATCTTTAAAGGGAAGCCCAAAGGTAGCCGTTGAAACCATAGGTGTCCTTTTTGGTGGTTTTGCTAGACAAATCGATGGCGATTCCTGGTTTACCTGGTGGTTTGATCATCTACCAGGGAAATCCATCTATTTCCCCTAAAAGGACACCTATGCTTGGGCGTCTCTTCAAACGCTGACTCCCCAGGAGTCCATGGGCCAAAAAAAAGAAAGAAGCGGTCCTTTGGCTTGGGGTGTTCGGATCGAGGGGGACCATAGGCTCGCCGTGGCTCATGGAAGCCTCTAGTAGGTCTACAGCCATGAACAAGCCAAGAGAATGGGACCCTCTTGCATGGATTTCAAAGAGAAGGCAAACAAATACATCGACAGGGATCCTTTGTGCTCAACAGAGGTAAGGTGCAAAGCATGTTGAGGAGTCGAGGAGTGATCCTTTTTGGAGTCTCACAGCGATAGTCAACCCTCCACTGTAGCCGTTGCTGTTCGGCTTCGGCACAAGGGGAGTGCCGTTCAATTGGATTCTGCCCGGTCATTGGGGTTACACTTACCAGCGCAGAAAAGTGTCGGATGCAGGGAGTTCAGCATTTTGCACATATTTTTCCCTCTTTATTCTCGGAATGCTCGCTTGTTCTGAGGGAGTGATTTGGGTGCTTTCTCTTTGCTTCTCTCTGAATGAGGCTACCCCGAAGACTTGCTGAAGGTAGGGGATATGATTGAAGAACCCAACCTCCACTCACCTTCGGATCCATTTGTAGTTGAAAGTGTGTGAATCCCCCTTGTCTTGCCTTCTGCCACGATCCCCGCCAAGTGGGTCATTTTTTCCGTTGGTGCTTTGGTGTACCCAAATGGAGTATAGCTCAAAGAAGCACAAGCCCTCCGGCCAACAAATATCGTTTGGTGCATTTTGTCAAGGGATGTTAGGACTTTAACTGTTTTGCCACCTAATGAAACGGTTTTCCGCTAAACCGCTAGGAGTTAAACTTTCGCAGGGGAGCAGATTTCGCAACCGAGTAGAGTTTGGTGCACCGGGAAGACAAACCTTTCCTTCTGGGAAAGAGGCCTGTGCAGCATGTGCCCTTCCAAGTGAGGGGGTAGCCACGGGTCCTCTCCATATCGTTCATACCACCAGACTCCCGAGTTTGTTCTGCCAGATTTGGAGTGCCAGTGGGTCTTTGCCGGGTTTTGTCGGGGTTTTGCTTGACTGCTATTGGGTTGGATCTTTAGACTTTAACTTTTTGGGAAATCAAGAGGTTTTCCACTAACCCCCCCAAAAAACAGTTAAACACTTTTTGCAGGGGTGTCAACAGCAACCAAGTAGTTGGGGACCCTTTAGGTGCACAACGGTTGTTTTTTTGGTGGGAATGTATGTCCACTTGTTTAAGGTGGTTCCGTGAGAAACAAATCCTCATAGCCATGTGGGTGTGACTTTCTTAAGTTTTCAGCTCTCGCGGCTCGCTTGTTTCGCGGCCTCGGAAGCTCAGCCCAGATGCGCCGCGCGCAGGTCACCTCGGTGAATCTGGGCCTGCAGCGCTCCGTGCGGCACGGCGCCATCGTCAGTGCCTTCGGCGAATCGAGTTCTCCTTATGCCATGGCCGCGAAGGGGCGTGTCCTTTTCTGTGTTTAGGGGACCCGCCAAAAGTGGTGGGATTTCGTGTTTCTCGTTTTGGCTTCCCTTTAAGGCCCCACCGAAAGAGGGGGGGGGCCCAACCAAAAAGAACGCCCGAAGAGTGTTTTTTCTGTTTCGGGACTCGAAATGGACAGCGAAATGGTGAGGATTCGGGAAACCAAGCGCTTGAGTTCGGCGCTTCAAATTCATCGCCTGGAAGCTCTCTGGGATCTCTCCAGCCAGCGTTCTCAGATTCCGAGAGCTTCGATTTTTCGGGGGGTGCAATTCCGCCAAAAGGGGGCTAGCCTCAAGCGTCAAATCCCAACCCGGCAGCTTGATAAGGATGGGCTCCAGAGCCCTGACCGATTTCTGGCTCACATTCACGGCTGGCCTTTTTGGGATACTCATCATCCAATTCACTTCCATTTGCTTAAGAGGATGTTTTATTTTCTCTTTTTTTTTTAGGATTCTATTATTACTGGGAGTCTTTTTTGTTTTTTTTCCAGGGAACTTACGTAGAAGGATGTTCATATTTGTATCAGAGGCTTCGCATTTGGGACCGGAGCCATCCAAGAAACTAAGTTTCACCAAGGGTTTTGGTTTTCGAGCCCGGCTCCCTGGAATCCAAAGCCTTTTGCCGCGACTATGGTTGCATGGTAACCAACAAGTAGGGGAACCGGGATGTTCAGTAGAGCCGGAGGGGGGGTTCGTTACTTCTATGTAATTTGATCATCCGAGCGCACTGGGGTTTTCACATTTTGCTCCCATCATGTCTGAGTTTGGTTTTGAAGCTCCCAACCAGGCCCTGTTCTATTTTGTAGTGGTACCCTTCTTTTGTGGTTTTAAAACGAAGCCAATGGAAACGACAATTGCTTCCGGTCTTAAAGCAGACACATTCAACGCCTAACTCCAAGAAATAACTTTTGGCTTCCAAACGTTTGCCCCACCCAGCGAACACTTGCGGTCACCATATTTAGGGTTGGCTGCAAAATAGACGATCCATGGCACGTGCCACGCTCCATGGCCCGTAGTCCAAATCAAAGGAAGCGAGACCTTTTGGCGGAAGAGATCAGTTCTTGTAGCCAGTTTCTGTGATTCCCGCAAACGGAACTTCAGCGTCCTACTCGGCACGGCAACCCCTGCAACCCAGCTGGTTTCCATGCGAGCCCCTGATTTGCACAGAGGGTGATGTTTATGGGGAAGATATCTACGCACCTCTGTCGATCCCGTCAGCGGCCCTTCCCCTCACTTGCCTTGGGCACTGAACAACTAGACACGGCTGGCAACAAATCAATGCCCTAGACACGATGACTGACTGACATAGACCCGCGTCCTCCTTTCGGGGGCCCCCATTTCAGTTTCCTGGACGGCAAAAGCCTCAGGCCTTTGAACAGGGTTTTTTCTAGAAAACGTGTGTCATTTTTATGTTGGACCCTCTCAAATGGATAGTTTCCTTCAAACACAATTCAAACAGAAAAGCAACCAACAAAAATACAGCCCCCCAGCGCCTGCTTTTCCCATGTCCGCAATCCCAAGTACTGTGCAAACAGCAGTGGTTGAGACCCGGGTGCTGGCATATATTCCTTCAAAAAGGGGACCCACACAAGTTTTCCTTGCAAATAAGGGGCACCACCCATCCCCATGTTTCCTTCCGTTTAGAAACTCTGGGTTCTGATTCGATTCCCTGGTAAATACCAACTTAAACCTCATGGTTTCATTCAACCATGGTTTCTTAGAACGGAGGTGTGGATTTCGCCAACCCATCCCTACCTAAAACCGACAAGGGGGGGACCACCAAAAAGATATCCAAGCCCATGGCTCCTTCCTTGACCTGGCTGTTTCAAAGAGTGGATGTTTTTTCAGAACCTACCCGTTTTGCGATGAGCATCCTTCCTTGAGAAGCTCCTCCCCCAACCCGCGCAAAACCGCCCGAAACTTGCTGGTGCTCAGGGAATGCGGTTGAATGAACCCCTTTGGTCCCCTCGGAAACCACCACGATGGTTTATCTCTGGGTCCTTCCTTTTCTCATTCCCTAACAGATGGCACCAAGGAAACCCGCCAGCCAACACGCATCCCTACCGGATGGCATCAAGGACCCCCCCCAAAAAGCAAACACGAAAACAAAAGCAAACAAACAAGCCCGTCAAACCGCATCCCCCCCCCAAATCAAACACCGCCAACCCGCTCCGAGGAAGCAATACATGGCTTCAACCATGGTTTCAACCAGTGCGATGTCTGGATTCGCCCCCTCCCCCCTCCCCCGCCTGAACCCCCCACCCGAACCCCGCCTCAGGAAGCGGGCGCCCGGGGCCGCCCAGCTGGCCCCCGCCGGCCTTGCGGGGCTTCGACGCCCAGGGGCGGCCGCTGAACTCGCGGCCGCAGGTGCCGGGGATGCCCGTGCCCGGGGCCATGGGGCGGGGCGGGAGGGGAGTTGGTCGGCGGCAGGGAGGGAGGTCGGGGGTGGTTGCAAACACCGGTTTTGGGCCGGGGCGAGGTGTTTTTTTAGGAGTGAATGTGTTAAGGGGAAATGTTTGTGGCCGAGGTGCAAGCTGGCATTTTTGGGTGCAAGTTGGATTCGGAATCAAGGAAGCTTGGTGTAAGTTGGTTGGGGTTGGTTTGGTTTAAGCTGGGTTTGGTCGGTTTTGTTTGGTATGTTCTTTGAAGGGCCAGGTGTGACTGAATAACACGAGTGTCCCATTTTAGAGGGTTATGGACCGATGAATAAACCCATCCTACTATTGGGGGGGGATCAGTTGGTGTCTTCTTGTATTAGGCCTTGCCTGGGCCAAGGCCTTTTTCCTTAGACTTTTGCAGTTCTCCCGGAGACTGGGCATGAATATGCAGGCAGGAATTCAGGCATTTGCCCCCCAACACCCTTTTCCGCACCATTTGCTTAGACTCCCGCGGTTTGCATGGCCTGCTTTACAAACTAATTAGTTCTAAGTTGGAGGGTGTAAATGCTGCCCAGCCCAAGGATGTTAGATGGATCTTCTTTTTTCAGAAGAAGAACCGAAGGGCTCAAAATTTCGAGGGGGACGTTTTCTGGGGGGATAGGGCTTGAGGACAGGGAGATGAATTTCAATCATGACTTCCCCTGCAGGCGGTACTGGCCAGGAGTTTCTGTCTCTACGACTAAGCAAACTCATCATGCACCATGGCGCGCTTCTTCCCAACTACAAGACACCCGATGTGATGGGTGTCAAACATCTAGCACCAAGGGCGGGGCTTCCCATCGGAATATTCGAGGAATCCACAACACGGGGCTCAGCGCGACGTGAGGCCGAACCACGACATGCGGCGGAACTCTCGAGACTGAGAGGAGGGCAGAAGTTCCCAGCCGGCTCAGGGGACAGGGATTTGGAGGGTCAAGAAAGCAATGGGACCCGCTGGAACTGAGCACGCCGCAAGAGCATGCTCGCAAAAATCGCCTTGCCAAAGGCAAGTTGCGCATCATTTCAGGCGCCGTGCAGAGCCGCAAAAATCGAAAGTCGAAGATGTCGCCGTGTTGAGAGATCTGACTGCGGGGTGCGTTTTGGCCGCACGGACATCGCCCCTTGCCCGTCGTGCGCTCCGGGTCGGCCGATCCGCGCCGGGCCGTGAAGGGGAGCGCAGGGCAGGCGGCCATGGGTTGAGCGGAGGGCAGGGCCCCTCCTGCACTCCATGGCTGGACGGCGTGAACGCGACCTCCAGTATTGCAGTTATTTTTGTTCAATTTAATTCTCGTTTGGAAATTCTGATTGAGGTCTTTCCTTAGCATCCATTTAATTTCAATTAGAAAGTCCTGAAGCTCCTTGAAAGCCCGCGGCCAAAAAAGGGGTGGATTGGGCGCTCGGTTTCTTTGCCGTTTCTGACTGGAGGTCCGGTCAGCCAAGGGCTGGCAATGAGCCCAGGTCTGCCACAATGATTTTCCCGAGACCGCGGGCACTGAGAGCCATTTGGCCACCAAAACAATCCCGAGATGCCAAAGGGAACCGGGAGAACCAAGGATCCAGATTCGGATTTGCATCAATCCGCCCTCGGCGGCCCAAACATCCAAACATCCGAGCGAAACATCTCGACCCCTCTTTGTTTTCAATCAAAAAGCCGGCGCGTGGTCGCTTTTGCCACGGCACTTTTTGCCCACTGTAAATTGTCGCTTTTGGCACTGCTCGAAGAGCAGCGGCCGTTTCAACCAGGGGCACGGCTTGCAGACTGCGATTCTCTGCCGAAAAAACGGGCGTCAGGGCGCGCCAGCGCCACTTGGCTTTTCGCCTGGGTTTTCGGGCAAAGGGTTGTGCTTTCTAATACTAAAAGAGGCGAAGTTGGCTAAATGACTCGTAACATTTTTGCTCCAGCCACGACCTTTTCTTTTGGGGCGGGGGGCTTTTTGAATGGCATTCGGGCCTGCAAAGAGAAGATTGGAAAACCAACATGTCTCAACGACTTACCCCAGCGCAGTGGCACGCCATGAAACCGAAGAATCAGTTTCAAGGGGAAGGAGGTTGGGGGGTGGGGGAGCCCAAACAAGCCCCAAATAAGGCCTTACCAAGGGCTTAATAAGGGCTTTTTTGGGCGTCCTCCCCCCCACCTCCCTCCCCCGCAGCCCCCATGAGGAGATGTTCTCAGCAGCTTTTCTCGTTTTTCACGGACCATTCGGAAGGTTCCCAAGCCGCGACGAGCGGTGCTTGAAGCCCAGAAATCTTCAATTGGAACACTTTTGGGGGTGTCGTGTTTCAGGGGACCTCCTAAAGTTTGGCGGTTGGAAAACCAAAGGACAACCACCATCTTTGGGAGGAGCATCAATGTATGTCTCATGGCCGCCTTTGTTGTCCATTGTGGACGTGGCGGTTAGAGTCGGTTTTTTTTTCTCCCTGGGCAATATACCCTTGTATACCCATCATAACGGCAGGAATCTGCAGCTTGGACTCTCCATGGCGTGCAAAAAGAACTAGGGCCTCATTTTGACACAACGACATTCGGCTCCCATGCGCGGACATTGGGCTGTTTTGAGACCCAGACAGCCGCTGGCAAGGACTTCTCGAGAGCCTTTTGGGTTGAAACTGTGAGGGGATTGGATCGGTTTCTTGATGGAGGACAAGGCAGCTTGTCCCAAAAATGCTGTTTATTCTCCTACCCCACTGGCAGATCAGTTTGGTTTCAGTTTCATTTACCAATGGAATTTATCCATGCTTCCAACAATCCAGGGACAGGCCAGGGAACAACGCACATTGTCCCTGGTTCATGGGGACGGGCATGCGGGTCAAGGAGTCCAAAACAGCTCCGGTTGGGATCCTGTATCAGTGAAGCTTGCCGATCGCACAGGCTGATGGCGGAGGCTGGCAAGAGGGCAAGAGGGCAAGAGAGCAAGAAAACCGATGTTCAACCTACATCAGGGTAGGTTAGAACCAGGGTAAGTTATTGTTTAACCGATCTACTAAGCAGGTGGTATTGGAAGTGGGAAGCCCAGTCGTGTTGCTCAAACAAATCAGACAAGCAGCAGTTTCATTGCTCTCTTTGCATCCCCTCTCCATTTTGTGGGGGCTGCAAAGAGCACAGTTTCCGGACGGCACCGGGCCCCAGTTGGCTTTTTGGTTGTTTTTCTTAACAAATTTTCCAGGTGGTGGTTTCCCTTCTTAGTTTCAAGTGGCGGCCCAAGGTACATTCTTGCGGGGCATAGGTTGGGCCACGCCAAGGGGGGGGAAATCTGAAGGCTGCGATCTGTGGCCGAGGTTCCGGTAAGGATTCTCCAGGTCGGTTGGTGACTCCTTGGAATTTGACCAAAGACTGACTCCAAGAGACCAACACCAGGCGGTTTCTTCAGGAAGTAGAGATGGCCAAGTTCCCGGGGAATTTCCTGGAGATGTGATAGAATGATACTTCATTTACTTTGGCCTTTGTTCCCCGGGAATCTTACAGGGTACTGACAAATTTTGGGCCGGCAAAGGAAATGACATGCAGAGACCATAGGGAAAGTCATAGGCTGCTGCCCATCAAAGGGTTTGGCAGTTGGAGCAGACATTTTGGGGAGAGATGTGGTTTTTTTGGGTTCGGTTTGGTTGGCATGGCGGTGTGTGTCAGTCTCCTGGACTGATGTCGGAGGGCAAGGCTTCCAGTGCCCTTCGAATCCGCAAAACGGCGCCCCTTTCCCATACCCACCGGAGGCTTCAAAACCCGATATTAAGATGGTCTCGAGCCATGCTTCAATTTTTGCGGGCGGATTCCCGCAGCTCGAAAATGGCGCCGGGGATTGTCCCCGGACCCAACCAACTGGCGCCGGGGTTTGAGCAAGTGGCTCGGAGGCGAGGCCAAGGCCGCCAAGGCCAAGGCCGAGCTCTACAAGACCCCAGACGCCCAGGAGGCGATCGATCCCCGAACCCGCGTCGGACGCGTTTCGTAGTGGCCGTTGCCACTCGGCCTCAAAATGAGGAACCCATGAGACAAGGAAAGCAAAGGGCTTGAAGTAGTTTTGAAGTATTTCGAGGCTGACGATGAAGTTTCCAAAGCCTTGGGACATACTCAGTTTGGGGCAAAGCTTTGGACATGCTGAACAGCAGCCGGACTTGTGGACGGGATGGCTGCACATGAACTGCCCAGCTTTGATAGTCCGGTCAGGGCTTGCGTCCGAGTAACATCGCGCTACTCCATACCCCCATTTGAAAGGGCTGCCGGCCCGGACTTTTTTTGCGTCCTACATCTCCCAAATGTTCGATTTTCCTTTCGGTTTGCCTTTCAGAGGCAACCAGAAAGGGCCTTCCAGAGGCAACCAGAAAGGGAAGTGAGCTTCCAAAAACGACAGACCCGTCTTTTGGGAAATAAATCCACCTTTTGGGTTCCATGTTAATTTGTAGAGGGAGTAGGACTATGAATGGGTGTTCATCCCCCACAGTGTTCCACTCCTGGTGAATTGCAAGTGGTTCGCAGGGCAGAGAAGAAAGTCACAGCATGTGACAACAGCTGGGTCGCACAGAGTGCAAACAGGATTTCCCATGAAGCTGCTTCCTGGAAGAACCCGACCGGGTTGGTCGCCACAGTGACACATGGCATCAATGGGTTCATGCTTTCATGCGCTGCACGCTCCGTGAGGCTCGTGAGGCTTTCATACTGTGGATGGACGAAATCCCGCGCTACCTAAGAAACCCTGATGATGGTTCCCTTATAAATACCCATGAACAATGGGTTTCAACCATGGTTTCCATGGTGCAAAACTGGTTCCAAGCATGGCTTCAAAGTGGTGCCTTGATGGATGGGGCCCATGGATCCTTCCTTCACAGCTTTTGGCCTCCGGTCCTGGGCTCTGGCTTTGGCAGACGGCCTTTCTTTCCTTGGCTCCACCCAGGCCGTCCGGTTCCTTAGCTTTTTAACGCAACTTTCCTTCGTGTCTAGTGCTAGTTTTTCCGAGTTCAAGCCGCATTGAAAGCGAGTCCTTTTTTTTTACGCGGTTAACCCGCGGTCGCGCGGGTTTGGCTCTTTTTCGGACATGGACCTTGAAGGTGGGACCTTGATCCCGGGAGCCGATGCTTGAAAGGGTACCGCCGGTACCGCTGATGCAACCCACATGGTAAGTCATCCTACTGACCTTTTGGTGGGCCCGTTGGGTTTCCAGGAATTGAGGAGCCCCAGAGAAAAAGCTCCCAAAATGACGGCTTCTCCTCTGATTTTTTTCTCCCCAAAGGGGCAATGTGGGGTGATGCTTGGGGACAGGAGTTCGGAAAAGCACCCTTTGGGACATAGGTGCCATGATCAAAACGCCCCTTGGGATTGGTGAGGCTGGTCACCCCTTGGAGATTTTAGACAGCTTGGGACTTGCAAATTTCTCACGGAGCAAGGTGGAACTTGCTCCATTTCCACCTACACGCGGTTTTAAACATCATCTTTCAGCGAGGTTCGAAATTGTAGCTTCCTTTGGATGGGTGATTTTACAGGGGAAAGAGTGAGGAACCTTCTCACATGAACTCCGGTTCTTGGAACCCTGCCACATTTGGGGCACTTGGCTGTGTGGCACGAGAAATGGGCTTTGGACACCCCAAACGGGCTGTGGCATTTCTGTTGTCCCACTAACGGGTAGGCCTCGCACCTGACACGGGAGTGGCTTCTCCCACAGCTATGTTGGTGGGAGGGAGGGTAAGCCTCATCAAAAACACACATCCACACAGAGTTTGTAATTCCCTTCCCTTCCAACATGGAAACTGACGTTTCGGAATCGGTCCAAGGCGTTTTTCCCTAAGCGGCCCTGCAGCTGCAGGTTAGAGGGGAAGGTTTTGGCAGCTTTCGATACCAGAAGCTTCCAAGAAGTCAGGGAGCTTACTTGTCTCTCTTTTGTTTTGGGTCATTTTACGCTTGACGGGATACGAATTCTCTTTGGATCATCTTGGTAAACGCACAAATCAAAACACAGGCGCTGGTAAACGCACAAATCAAAGCACAGGCGCTGGTCTCAGTTTGGGTCTGTACAAATGAGCATCAATCCAGCGATCCATATTTGTTGGGCTTCCTTAGGGGAGAATTGGAGTCAAAAAGCCAGCCTTGTTGTTTTGGCACACCTACCTTGTCTTTTTTAAAGTAAGCTTTTCATCCCCCATTGCCAATACCCATCCCCCGACACCCCAACCCAAAGGATCCGGATGGGTGGCTGAGGGCTGAGGGCCCCTGTGTCAGGCTTGCGACTTTGGGTTGCTTGAACGGGAACCCCCAAAACAGTTTGGGGCGAAAGGAACAGTTTGGTTGCACCCGTCAAAACGGGATTTCGGTTCTCCTTTTCACGTTGAGCAGATGGAGCATCTCCGACATTCAGCTGCACATCTTTGGATCGGGTTCGGGTCAGCGGAGTTTTGTGGAGGATCCCAAAAACGAGTTGGAGAACCTTCGGCCAGGTGCTGGAAATCGCGCGTACCCGGAACCTCTACAAGTCCAACCTCTTCCGCCTGCAGCTGGAGGATTCCCGAAAAATTCAACTGAGCCACGTGCTATCAAAACCGATTCGGGGATTGATGATCCGGTTAAGGGCAGTCGCCAGAAATTGTTGCGGATATCCGCCTTCTTGATTCTTGAAGCATGGGTCTGGATAGACCATCTGAATACCGGGTTTTGAACAGAACGATAGCAGGATAAACCCCTGATTCAATCCCACACACCTCAATTGTCTCCTTATGATACATGGCATTTGAATTTCACCACATGGGACAAGTTGCCCATGCTCATTTTGGCGCCAGGAATATCGATTAACCCCCAAATAAAACAATGGTAGCAGGATAACCCCGTGATTCAATCCAACACACCTGGATTATGTACATTATGCAATATACGGTTTTAACCCCTTGGCTGCTTCTTTTGCTTATAAGAACTTGTAAGGAGCCCCCCCCCCCCCCCCCCCCCCTGTCATCCTGCATCGTGTCCACGGCAAAACAACGCTTGCAGCCTCAGGTGAGCCACAATCAGAACCTGGGTAGATGAAGGTAAGGCAAAGGCACAACAATGAATATCAGGTAACCCCTAAGTGGTGGTTTGGATTGGTGGTTTGGGGATTTGAATCCCTGGTTCTTGTAGAGGGTAAATAGGAAACGGTCCCAAACCACCAAACCACCAATCCCAACCTTTCATAGAGAGATCATTGGTTGCGTCGAGTAGAAAGCCTCTGAGCGCTTCGTTGCAGGTCCTTTCCGGTCTTTTGGGTTGGATGTTGCTGGCCGATGTGAAATGCTTCCAGAGCTTGAGGGGGCCGGACAAATCAGCCGTTCTTTGAGATCTGCACAGGTGGGCATGTTTTTTTTCTTCTTCTGCGAGCCAATTTCGTCGGGAATCCCTTGAAACAAAATGATAAAAGCAGGCCACAAAATTTAGGATTTTGGATTGGGTTGACAACACCAAATCGAGGCCACCATTTTAAGGGAGCGCATAATGTGAGGAGCCACCTACCCAGATTCCAACGGGTTTCACTGAAAGTTTTTGGTCCATCTGTGCCATGGACACTTAGAGGCTGTTTTGTAGGCTCAAGTTCCCTAAAAGAAGGAAGTTGCGAAATCGACTATCGAGCCCGAACTGTCCGCCACCAATGCTTCCATCAGCAGAGTTGCAACGAACAGACACATGTCCACCATGCGGGGTCCACCCATGTTTGGACTACCCTTTCGGATTCCCAATGGATTGTGAACCACATGTTTTTTCAGGATCCGCATTTCCGGTGGCCATTTGCGGATGTGGGTTGTGCATTTTGGCGTCCAGGCAAAAAAAGTGGGATATATTTTGCTTTTAGTCCTTTAAGATTTGACTAGCAACCGCGTTCTATCGCAATTCACCACCAAAAGGAACTCAACCATTGTAAGGGCTTCTATATTTGGAACCCAGTGGCATCACCCAATAGAACTCCGGATCTAAGTAGATCCTATTCTTTGTTTGGGGGCTGCCACCCACAGTAATCTGGATTCCCGCTCAACGGAGACTCCCGACAAACCAGTCGATTGTTTTGGGGTCCACATAAGACCCTTCTTCCGGTTTCTTGATCATACTCGCGGATGCTTGCGAAGTCCATTTCGCACCGTTCAGCAACCCTGGTTTACGATTCGCTTCCCCTGGACATAGCAACAAACACTGGTTTCATTCCCAGAGATTCTCAATGGCGCGAGACGTAATGTGAATCCCGGACTAATAAACCCTGGTTAGGGGGTGTCCCCTTTTAGTGGGGATTCGAAGACCACTTTTGGAGGGAACACCCCCCCAAGAATGAGACAGGCTCTACTTAGATCCTGGGTCCACGTTATGTCGTCCGGAGAAACATGTCGACCGCCGCTTTCCCAGCGAGAGCGAAGCGCTTGCGAGCGAGCGCTTGGCCTAGGAGCTGATCAAGGAGCTGGCGCCCCGCAAGAGCCCGCCGGGCCTGGAGGCTCCGAAGATCAGCCGATGCGGGCGGTTGGGGGGACACAATCGCCGCCCGGTTTTGGGCGACCACCGCCCGTTTTTTGTTGCGTGTTTTTTTGCGTTTTTTTTGTTTTTGGGGGGGGCGGGCCGGCCGGATTTTAAGAAGCTTGTTTTCCCTTTTTTGTTTCTTCTCTTTTTTTTGTTTTTCCTTTTTTTTAGGGGGGGGGGGGTTGAGAAGCCCTGTTTCATTGTCTGGCACAAAACCATGAACACCTGCAGGGTTTTTGCGACTGCGTTTTTAAGAGACCTGGGCCTGTTTTGGGCCAGAGAGACACCTGGGTTTGTCTCGATAGCCCAAGGCTTTTCTATTCAGAACCTTTACCACCCTGAGGACTTGTTTCTAAAGTGTTTTCAAGACGAGACTAGGCAGGTCCCGGACGAGTGTTTCAAGGAACTTTTGGGTCGCTTTCGGGGTATGATTCCTCACATCAACCCTCCAAATCGCGACTTGTTCCGCTCATTCCGGTGCATGGGCAGGTTGGCTCCAAAGACCTCAGCAGGCCCTTAATGCCCTTTGTAACTTTGCAGCTTCTGCCAATTTCTCGCCTGTCAGAAAGGGTGACTCTTGCTGTTGAGTTCGTCGCCACTCATGGCTTTTTCATTGGCTGGATCGTTGAGACCATGTCCAGCGGGCGATTTGCTCCCGGGTTCGCGCCGGGTTTAAGCGAGTCCTCCACGGACATGGCAAATCCTTTGTGGCATTGAAGAACATCAAACACTTCCACCCGATTGGGGTAGGGAGTCTTTCCGGCTTTTTTGGTGCTTAACGCCACCAGCACGCTCAGCACCTTTTCGCTATTTTGCTGCAGCTGTTCAATGCCGTTTCAGCTCGCCCTAAGCCCAATCAGCATATCGTGGTCACTTGGCGGGGCTTCTCTTCGCCCCTGTTTCGTTTGACTGATCTGCTGTTGTTTTGTCGGCTTCCGATGCATGTTACGCGCGTTCTCACGTCGCGAGCTCAGAGGTCCGGGCGGCTGATGAGTGTTCACAAAAAAATGTTCGGTTTCCTTTCGGGTTCCCTTGAAACCAGCCCAAAAAAGACAGTGTCCCCCAAGAAAGAATACACCCAGCTGACCTTTTTTACACCTTTGTTTGGTGTTTGCCCTGAGCATCAAATATTGATCCTAATCAATCTTTTGATTATGAAAACGATTTTGATTTGAAATCAAGAATTGATTTGATCGTTTTTGCGATCAATCTGAGAGCATGTGTTTTCAAGTCAGAAATTCAATACAAAAATCAATCCAAACAAGCTATACTTGTCATAGGCAAAATCAATTTAAAATTAGTATGAAAATCAACATCCAAATCAATATCCGAACCATTCTTTCCATTCGAATCAATATGAAGAAGAACTTAAACTCCTTTGACCTATATCTCTTTTTTAAAAAAAATCTCTCTGTTGCACTTCTCCAGGTCATGGTGGCTCCTTTCTCAAGGGGGTTTTCTCGAGCTGGCTCCTTTCTCAAGGAGGTTTACTCGAACTGCCTTTGGCAAAGCTCGAACCCTTCCCTTGTCAACAGGAGATCTAGTAGAAGCTTGTACAGGAGATCTAGTACAAGCTTGTACTTAGGGCAAACTTCTGAGAGATCCTGGTCGACCTCACTCCCATGCTCACTGAGTGCGCAAGCGAAGCCATTTTCCGTACGAGATCTTCGCAAGAGAAGCACCAGTGCGCCCTCGGGTTTCAGCACTTGCTGTTCTCAACCAAGTGTTGGGAGGTGTGAAATTTAAAGCCAACATGAAGTACTTTTCTATTTGCTTCTGCTGCCCATTCATGGAGCTGCGCGTATGTATCCAAGAATCCTTTTGCAAGGGCGCATGCTTGCTTCCAGGCGTTCAGGGACAAACATTCCTGACTCGTCAAACAGTGCGACGAGGTCACACATGCTTTGCAAGGCCCTTAGCATAGCAGCTTCGTGCTCCAGGCTGGGCTGCAGCAGGGCTTTGCACACTGAGAGGAAAGCAGGGGCTAGCCATTTAGACTCAGCTCCCTTGGCCTGCAGCGCAGGGTAAGAGCTGTGAGGTGCAGCTGTGTCACAAATCATGGACAGCCTGAGGTTGGTCAGTCTTGTGGGGGACTGCTGTCTTTTGTATTCCTTTTGCAAGGCTTCAAAGATGAGGCCTAGCCTTTGCTTAGGCTCTATCTTTTGCTTGGCCCCAGCCCCGACACCGTCGTGCCAGTGTAGATAATGAAGAATGCTGCCAAGCAAGTGGGAGTAGAGCCCGTGGTCAAATAGAATGTGCAGGCCGTCCCCTCTTACAAACTTGGTCGTGAGCCCAGGAATCATGTGCAAGAGGGGATGGCTTGACCTGGGATGTTGGGGTGTTCTCTTGCCTTGCTGTTTGGAACCACGGTAAATCCTCTCCCAAGGCGTTGCACTCCCAGCAGGGGTTGTGCGATTGCCAGTGGGGCAATTTCAAGGTGTTTGAAAAGAAGTCGTGGTCCCCCTATCACGCACCAAATTACCGCTCTCAGACCCCGGGTGGTAAAAAGGGCGCGCCGTCTGGATCGTGAGTGGGGCGCAGGCCTGTGACCAAGGCGCAAAAGCTCCAGCACGCCCACTTCATGATGCTATGCCAGGTTTTGTCTGTAGCGCAAGATTTGGGGAAGGAGGCCGTGAGGACTTCCTTTTGCAAGGGTCCATATAAGTTGATCAAGCCGCCCCACCATGAGACTATCTCTAGTCTGATATGCAACCACGTCGCCATGCACGAACAGCGGTATGGTCTTTTTCTTCATTGGGTGGTGGTCCAGCCGGTCGTCCCCACACTTTTCAGCATCTCTCCAAAAGTTCTCTAGGCTGTCAACCCCAAACAAGGATGAAAAGCTGCTGTAGGAAGTAAGGCTGGCAAACACTATGTGTGGGAGAAAGCATCTTCCTTTTCAATTCTAGGCGCTGCACAGGGATACGATGAGCGTCAGGTTGCCTCTGTGAGCGCCATGAGACCCTGCTCTGGCCATTGATGCCAGCGCCGGATGGTCGGCGCCATCAAACATTGCGCACTCTGCGCCCAATTTGCCGTGAGACCACAAGCTAAGCAGGGCAGTTGCCAAGGAGCTGTCCTTACCTTTTTCAAGGTTTGCCTCCTTTCCTTTTTCCTTTTCTAACTCTAGCTGCCAGCCCCTGAGCCTCTTGGCCATCGGGGGGTCCCCTTTGCAAGGGGGCTGCAAGCTTGCTGAGTCACTTGAGCCAAAACGCTGCAGGAAGTGGAGGGTCCTTGGATCTGAACGTGTCGCTTCTGTAGTGCTTTTGAGGGCATGCTGTCAGCTTGACGGAACATATCCTGCTTTCCAGGGGCTGGCCCAAGACTGAAGGAACACATCCGTGTTAAGTGTGCCTTGGAGCTATGTACGGTGTTTCTGTGGGGACTGGGAAATTGTCGTGTTTTTCTTCAGGGGCAGCACGCGCCAGTCTAAACCCCCCTCTGCTACGCTTTGTTTGGGGTGGCCCATCTTTTTTTCGACAACGGCAAACCAGAAGTCGATTTGGCCTGGGTCTATCCCCTTGCGTCTTAAAAAAAGGATTTCCTTAAAAAGCAACCCTTCAAACCCCCGCCATAAAACGCTTTTTTCATCATTCTCTGAGCTCGTTCTTCCCTGGGTCACCCCTGTTCCCACTCTTCATCATCGTCAATTTTCAAAGTAAACTCTTGACCCTGCTGCCAAGCTTTTTTTGATTTGCCAGTGCTTGTCCTCTTGAAGTCTGCATTGTCCATGTATTCATGCACACCCCATGTTTGGGGGCATTCTCTCCAGGGCCCTTGCCAATGGACCCGCAACAACATCGGCAGCCACATGCCTTGCCATGCCTTCCAGTTGACATTGCAAAGAGTGGTCAGGAAATCCAGGTGCGCCTGCAGCTGTTATATCAGAAAAAGCAGGGATCCTTGCCGAAGGCACGTGGGAGGAAGATAGATCACGAAGATTTCTTGGCTCGGGCAAGGCGTGAAAAGGTTGAAATCCATGTTGGATCACTGATGGTGATTGTCTCAGTAAAACACTTTGAGAGAGACCCTTCTGAGTGGACACTGAAGGCAAGGATAGTGTTTCGTTCAGACGCAGCGAAAAATCAAGAAGGTTTGAGCGCTGTTTTTGATGAGCTTCTTTTTTCAACGCCGTCATCAATTGCAGGGCTCAAAGTTGTGATCGCACGGGGACAGGCGCCAGGGCATAAATGCTCCACCGCCGACGCGGTAAAAGCCTTCCTACAGGCTCCCCTCTCCACTCGCAGTGAAACATGGGTGATCTTAGCACCAGAATTGGTGCCGCAAAAGTTTTCTCATGTGGTACGACCATGTGCTCGGCTCCGGAAAAGTCTTTATGGGCATCCGGAATCTTCAGTGGAAGCACGCGGACGCAGCGTTCAGTCCATGGGAGGCAAGGAATTCAGCTGTTTGCCGTCATGTTACATGTTTGAATCCTCCAAACGAATCTCGACATAACGGTTTCTTGCCCATACCCTTGACCATCGTCTTAGGACGATCTCATCAGAAAGTGACTTGGAAAGGTAAGGAAGCTTATGCGTTTCAAGCCGCAGATTTCGCTCAGCAATGCGTGGAGAGATACAAAGAGCTTACGGACATGCCAGTGCGCGCCGCTAGCGCCCCACATTTAGACGAAGGATCGTTGAGTCCGCCAGGGGGGAACTTCTGGGCAGCGCTGCAAGAATCGCCATGAAGTTGTTGTGGCTTGCTTGATTACGCCGGCCGGATTTGCAAGTGAGCATTAACTTGTTGGGAGCTCATGTGACTAAGTGGGGCAAGGCTGATGATAGGCGCCTCGCCCCGCTTGATAGGTTACTTGCATTCCTTCACGCATGACCCTCTGGATAGCTTGTCCTGTTGGGTAGACGCGAGTTTTGGTGACTGCCTCTTGTGTGGGTAAGCCGAAAGCAGACTGTCACCAGCCGATCCACAACTGAATCTGAAACAGTGGCTTTGGCCACCGCCGTGTGCAATGCTTGGAGATCGCTTGCAGCCATCTCTTTGGCCGTGAGATTCTTGTGACGTGTTGGGAAGATAATCAAGCTGAGGATACGCTTCCAAATTGCGGCACTTGCAAAAGACTCATAAGATCAACGTCGCCTCATTGTCAGAAGCATTTGAAAATCCCAATTACAAACTAGATTACATTGTGACAACTCAGCAGAAGGGAGATGTCTTGACGTGGCGGCTTGATTCATGTTGGGATGTTCCGCAGTCAAAGCCTGAATGATGTTTGGCTGCTTCGAGCGCCTCACACCACATGGAGCGAACACAATTAGGTTTCACGTGAAGTGGTAATTGCATGACAATACTTGGCTTTCACCAGGTCGCTGCTAGACACCCTTGTGTTGCCAGGTTGAAGCTGTTGCTTGGAATCAGGGGGGCAGACGTGCCCTAAACCGGTGCCCTTGTGGGGTGGCCAGGCATGCCGTGCTTGAGCATTTGCCAATTCCTTGACAAACAAAATTGATTGCAAAGTGTGTCAAGAAGCTTTGAATATCTTAGCCATAATAAACCTGTGCAGATGAGCTTTGTTGTTCCCGGTCGAGTGCCTTGCTTCGTCATGGCTTTTGTGTGCGTACATCTCAATTCTTGACATGCTGTTTTGCCGCTCATGCGCATCAGCTAGCAACTTGAGATGGTACCTTTGCCTGGATCATTAATTCGTATCCATGTCACTAATTCGAGAATTGTTGTCTTTTGGTCGCCTTTCTAAGTTTATGCAATCCTTCTAGCAAGGGATGAAATCACCCTTCGCTGCGACCCGTTCTGCACCTTCCCAAATCGCAAGAGGGGGGAGTTGAACAAACCCACCTTTTCATGGGGTGTGTTCCTTTTAGCTGCCCCCGTGGTCAACAATGCGTGTTCGACCAGGCGCCAGGTGTGTTACCTGTGAGGCGTGAGACAATCGAAGGCATTGATGGCGGCGGGATGCAATGCGTGCACCCGGCTGGTGTGCAATGCGGCACACTGTGCCACGTTGAGACATGTCGAAACAGTCATATGGTTGCTGGATGCAGTGCGTGCATCCGGCTTATGTGCAATGGGTGCTGGCTGTGCACCGAGCCTTTCGGGCGGCAGCTGCGGCTGGGCCCTGGCGGAAATATTTTTGTACTTGCCATCGTTTGGCTCAAGTTGGAAAAGGGACGTTTGCACTCGCTGGCGCGATATCCACTGGGCATTCTTGATTTGCGAGTTCATACTTGCCATAGGAAAGGACAAGATTTTGGTGTGGGGGATTGGGTTGGGAAGATTCCGAAGGTTCCCGGCCCTGGTGGAGTCGAGGCGAATGATGAAAAGGCCCCTTTTATTCGAAAGGGGTGGATTTCACCCGACCCTCCGAGCAGCCTCGCGCCCGCACTTTCTGCAGGCCGCGCTGCATGGTCTGAAGCCGTTGCTGCTGGAGAAGTTGCACTCGCGGGAGATCCCGGCGGCTTGGCGGACAAAGCGCCGAAAACACATGGGGACTTTGTTTGGATGGTCAAGGGACGCCCATTTTCAAGGGTAGTTTCTGGAAAGATATGGAGAGTGACGGTGCATGTCCTTTTCAGCTTAGTTTGGGCAGTGAAATAGATGGGTTCCACCGGTGTCACGTACCAGGGCCATCAATTTTTCCAGAAGGACACTTATGACTGTGTCCCCAAATTCAATAAACACAACTCTTTTTGTTGAGGGGCTTTTGCTACAGCACATATGATCTTATCGGTTTTTTTCCCGCAAGGACCCCTAAGTCGGGTCTCCAGGATTGCCTTTGGATAAGGACACCTGCGAGGGTTGCTTTCGGCTCAAATGGAAGCAAGAACATCATAGCTCAGCTACCACTGATTCTTTCCCGCCGTAGACCGTGTGGGAGATGACGGTGAAAACGCCCATGTCTCAGAGCAGCCATGGAAAAACTTAACATATGTACAGCCTTCGCAGTTGATTTTAATGCTAATTACTAAGATTTTGGCTGCGAAGTACGGCTGTAGGTATTTCTTGGAGCCTTGTTCCACGGAGGCCCAACTCGAGGATTTGGGCATCTGAAAAGTTGCTGCGGCCTTTGCGACGCAAGGACGTGAGTATTCTGCAGAAAGGCTGGCCAGAGCTTGCCCGCAGCAGCTTGGTGGCGCGGCCAGCGCCAGCAACCGCGGGCCCCGCCAGCCCTGTCACAATATCCTCTCCCCAAGCCCAAATTGACACTGACACGCCTCTCCTGCCAGCGACCCAAGGCTGGCTCGAGCATGACAGTTTGAAGGGGCCCAACGGTAATTACCCTGTTGCGGCCCAAATCACGACCCATCCAAATTCTTGATTCGCGCAGAGCCAAAGAATGCAAAAGTCTTTGCAAGACATGCAGCGGTGAGTATCCCGCAGAAGGGCGCACCAGAGCTTGCCCAGATTGAGGTTGCAGCAAGCGCCAGCAGCCACGAGCGCCAACAGCCCTGTAGCGAGGTGCCCTGCTGAAGCTGTAATTGACACGCCTCTCCTGCCTAGGGTCGACCCAGGGCCGGCTCGAGCATGACAGTTTGAATGGCCCCAAACGGTAACCCTATTGCGGCCCAAATCACGACCCATCCAAGTTCTTGATTCGCGCAGAGCCAAAGAATGCAAAAGTCTTTGTGCTTGTGGACATGCAGCGGTGTGTTTATCCCACAGAAGGGCGCGCCAGAACTTGCCCAGATTGAACACGCCTCTCCTGCCTGCGACCGAGGGCCGGCTCGAGCATGACAGTTTGAATGGCCGCAACGGTACCCTATTGCGGCCCAAATCACGACCCATCCAAGTTCTTGATTCGCGCAGAGCCAAAGAATGCAAAAGTATTTGTGCTTGTGGACTCTCGCTCAAACAAACCAAGCGGTGAGCTTGCTGAAGTGGAAAAGCGCCCACGTGGAAGGCCCCTTCAAAGGAGTTGCGCATGTTGGGGCAGAGGATGTTTCCCATGCAGCAGCATAGTTCGCAGTGAAATGAAGGACATTTACCCGGGTCAGCGCCAGCTGACACGTGCTCTGCGTTTGTTGGCCTTTACTCTCGGCCTAGGCATGACAATGCGAGTGGAGTTCAGTGGAGTAACAGGCAGTGGGCTTCGCAGTACGCTACTTTCCCAGCAGCTTCCGAAGGATTCAGTTCGTCTAGCTTGGGCAGCGGAACCCCTGACATCCGGCAGTCACCGCCTGCTCAGCTGTGCATCTTCTGACCCCGAGCCACAAGCGGACTTCGCAAGTTTGCCAAGTGGCCCCAAGCAGAAGTCTTGCGATGAGGATGCAAGTTTTGTAGCTCAAGCTGTCTCATAGCCGTTGCCACTTGCGTGACAGTACTTGGAGACGGATGGCTCTCCTGCGGAGCTGCCAATGGCCCCTCCAAATGTCTGAAACACTATCCACGTGCCACCCATTGCCTGAGTTTGCCGCATTCAGACAGCAATCTGAAACCTGTTGGAAAGCCCCGCTCTTTGAAACTTGGCATGAAACGACAACGTTTGTTTGCGTTCCTCACACGCAGCAACCATAACACACAAACACAAGGGTGAGAATTTTGTTTGATGTCCTTTGACGCTGCTGCAAGCGTGTAAGGGGAATGCATTCGTGAGCGTGCCTAGTCACCTTGAGCAGTTTGTGCAGATTGCAGCAACCTACGTCGCAGTCACCATGCCCTGTCTTTGATACCGTTGAGCTGCCCTCTTCAATCTTTGCATTCAGAGCTTCATTTCGTGGCAAGTGACAATGTTTGCTGAGTAGGAACCCACTCACTACGCCTTACCTTGTCAGGTCCCTTGAATGGAGCTGAGTTCACCATGAAGATAGAAGCGCCGGATTTGACCTATGACTGCTTGCGGCAGGTGAGAAGCTCTTGCAGAAGGTCCGCAACTGGAAATTTAGAAGCTCATTCTGGCAGAGACTTGCGTGCTCTTGTTTCAACTGGGAGGGAAACATGGTTTAGCTTGCAACATTCTTCTTTTCCGCAAGGCAGCCTTTAACCGTGAGCCTAAGCATGCTCTGCAGAAAACGTAGATTTCGTGGCGGCGAGCAAGATCAGTGCCTTTACGTGGCCTGAGAAACAGGCCCCACGGAAGACTTGCAAAGCCTGCGTTGCTGTTCTTCTCTTTCATTACTTCGGACCATGCCCTTGTGGGCGGGCCGCCAAGAGAAGGGCGGCAACGCAACTGAGTTTGCGACTGACATCCTGCAAGCGGCCTGCCAACCTCAGTGGCGGGGTGGGAGTCTTCATTGCGATGATGAAGGCCTGTGGTAGCAGGTTGCTGGGTGTTCTGCATAGCCGGAAGACGCTTGGGTGGAGATTGGGCAACAGTCAGTCAAGCTACAAGGCGCACACTTAGAAGTGTCACTGCTGACCGTTTTGGAAAACCCCGTAGGCGCCGACCGTGCTGAATGCCTTGGCAGGTTCGTTCCGGTTTGGCGCTGGCTTTGCAACATTTATCGCCGCGCAGGCCTGCCTTCTGTATCTTGCCGCCGCGCTTTTCGACCCTTTGCGGCCTCAAACGCTTTGGCTGACTTGGAAGCATATGAAGGGAAGGCCGGCTTGGCGGTTGCATGTGTTTTGCCACGCACTCAAGCTCTTGGGCGTTGCAATGCGTTGCAGAGGTGTTGCGCTGGCATGGCAGATCGCTGCTCCACAGATGCCCCATTGTTTTGTGCCATTTTGGCGATTCGCTCGGCTCACTGCTGGCTGGCTGGCAAACCGGATGGGCTTCCCGTTCCGGCCAGGAACAGAGAGCTGCGCGGAAGCCAGAAGCTGACTCCGCGCAGTCCGGGCACGACTTGACAGCTGCAGCCTATGAGCGCAACGCGCGTGATTTGACCCGATGTCAGGGCTGGTGGGACATCGGACCATTCTTGGCCTTATTATATGACCTATACGTCGCTTGTCCGGAAAGGGCCAAAGAGCTGCTTTCGGGCACAGACATTCAGTCCAGCGAGCCCAGAGCGAGAAAACAGATGCATCAGATGCTCCCTCTCATGCAGGGCCGATAGATTGGAACGGGATTGCAAAGCTAGACCAACAGTCACAAGAACATGTGAGAAACCTTTTGGGCATGGCTCATGGCCCAAAATGGGTTGCCCTGGTAGGAACATGAATTGCGCCGGATCTAAGAGCCCGTTCTATTCACAGGTTGGCCCCCAAAATGATCCGGCTTCCCACTACGGGACACCTCCTTCTTCATCAGCCAGGCGTTTACAATCTAAATCTGGGGTCAACATTAGCCCTTCATCTTCTGCTTAAAGACTTGGCGAAGCGTTGGTTCCAGCGGGTTTACCCTTTTATGCCTGCGTGGGATGGGTAGAAACATACAGTGCTCGGTGAATGCCTTCAGGGGCCAAGTTCTTACCTGCCAAATGTCCCCGAAATCAGGAATCTTCAAGAAACCCATGGAAACCATGACGTGGGTCGAACTTTCAAGTTGCCAAGCTGTCTCAGGTTGATTTCCTTGTTCTCTTCAAGGGGACACCCTGTTTGCCTGGTGACCCGATCTTGGGCGAGTTCACGCCTAAAACTGAACACAAGTCGAGAACATGTATGATCAAGAGCTACCTTCACCACTTCCTCAAACGAAACGGAAGGAGCCATCTGTCCCAAAAAGTGTTAAAATTCAGGAAACGTGCAAGGGTCCATGACTTTCACATGCTCTTCAACCATCGATTGACCCAGCTGTTTGGCCTGGTTGTTGCTGCCATGATCTAAAGAGAGCCCTGAGAAAGTACGTAGGACGACACCACCCCTAAATTTGACCATCCCCCCCAACTTTCAAACCACCACTCCAAACCACACATTTCGTTGGGATATATCGGTGGATATGCGTTTTAGTGGGGAACACCCTCACAAAACAAACCCAACACATAGGCAACATTTTGGAAGAATTGATAACCCTGGTAAATGAGATTTCACAAGTGGTCCATTGCCCGCGCCAGTTTTCCAGCTAGAGTTACTTCCCAACTCCATATCGGAAATCCAGTGGCCATGGGACAACAAGGCACCTTTGGTTGTCGGTTTAAATTGAAAGCCACTCAGGGGTACGGTTTTTCGACGACAAGTTCCACACGGTTGCGACGATTAGCCACCCACTAGGTAAATGTCCTGTTGGTTTCCCTCTAAAAGCCCGCATTTTTGTGTGGTTTTCAAACGATGCCAAAAGGACCCCCCCCATTTACCAGGGCATCTACCCTCTGCCTTTTGGCAGCTTCCAAAGAGCTTCCAAAGAGCATTCTTGCTGGTCAGTAGGGTTGACCTTCCGAGCTTTGGGAATGACACCGGAAGGGGATTCCCTTAAAGGAAACCATACGTTGGAGGGTTTTTCTGGGTCATGCCGTTTCTCATTCCCTGCCTATCGAGCCAGCAAGCATTGTATCAGGGAACACTTTTTCGAAAAAGTCTTGGTTTAAAAAGGGACACCAAAGTCCTGACACCTCGCTATTTTTGCAGGTCCCCTACAAAACAACCGACCTTACCTTGGCACACCCCTCTCTACCAGGGCTGTGAGTCAAAAATAGGCACCCAACATGGGTTGCCCTGGTAAATCGACAAAACCTATGGTGGATTTTGAGGCTGGGTGAAATGAGTTGGCTAAACCTCCCCAATGGACGCGAAAAACGGAAGGCGAAGCAAGTTTTTCCCTCCGTCTTTCCCGCGCCGAGCGCCTTGGGCGCCGAGGCCAACTTCGCGGCGGAGTTCCCGGAGCTGCGGTTCCAGCTGAAGAGCGCGGCGGCGGCGGCGCTGGGCTTTGCGGCGCCGAAGCGGCTGGACGTGGTGGGCAGCTTTCTGCGGCTCGGAGCGGATGGGGCTGGGGTGGGGTGGGGTGGGGTGGGGTGGGAGGGGATGGGGGGCAAGTTGATAGGATATGGGGGTCTGGCGGGGGGGGGTCTAAACCTCAATCATTACTTTCAAGCAGTGAATCATTTTGTTCGTTTCATCAGTAGGTTCCGGGGGGGCGGGGGAGCGGTTTGGGGTTGGAGGCTTGGGGGGTGGGGTGAGGAGAGCGGGTCGGTAAAGAGGGGCAGGCGCAACGCATTTGCGGGAATGAGGGGTGGACGCAGGGAACCTTCCCTTGATGTGAGGAAACACTTGTTGGTAAGGCTTGCTTTTGGTTTCGCAAGAGCGGATGGCAATTCCCACCCTGTAGGGTAAAACATTTACCATTCTTTGCGCACACGTGTGCCGGGTTACAACCAAAGGGGGGGCCATCATGTATATGGGGATGCACGCTCAGCCAAGATCCGAGGCTGGGAACCCACAAGGAGCAGGTGGTGGATGTGGCCCTGGAGATGCCTTCGGAGATGTTCAGATCAAAGGCGCGTTTGCACGCAACGGACCGGGGTTGGGGCATGGATCTGATCCAGTGAACAAACCAATTTGATTTCAATTGGATTCTCAATTGCATGAGTTTGGTTCCCTTTCAGTTGGGAGTGTTCTCTTGGCACTTGGGGAACCCCTGCTGTGGGCCAGAATGCACAATTCAACGGGGCTTTCCTGTTTCAATAATCCCAATGCCTGGCATTCTGGATGATCTGAGCAGCCGGCCAGCTGGGTGAGTTTGGTGTCCCCCCCTGCGAACTTTCACGTGGAACATCGTGGAACCCAAAAGGTGGTCTAAACGGGCATTCGGTTTTTGGGTTGTATGAAAATCATGCAACGGAGAACACCGAACACCCCGCTGATATCCCCTGCGCCCCACTTTTCTTTGGAGGGCGTGCCTTGAAAGTCAACCACAAGCGAATGGTACCCCTTCTCCCATCACCCAGGTGGTGGTTCCCGTTAGAGCCGTGCTTTCGCTTCGAGGATTATCTGAACTTCCGGTACCACGACAAGCGGGCCGCTTACGTGGGGGAGCTCCACCGACAGCTCCCAAACCTGCTCCAAGGCGTGAGAGGAATCGGACTTGGCGGTTCCTTGTGTTTTTTGGCTTCTAGTCGGTTTTTGTTGGTTTGGTGGTTGGTTCCTTAGGCTTTTAGGTTGCCGAACTTAGCAAAATTGAAAAGTTATTCACATTTGGCAGGGGATCTGAGGACAGCTAGGTCTAATTTACCATGGCTTGATGTTTTGAGGTTAGCCTATACCCACGGGGGGCGGAGTGGAACCTCGTCTTTTTTTAAGGTTGGAGCCAGCGGTGGATTTCAGTTTACCTTTTGGTTTCCACTTGAAACCCTTTTCGTCAAACTGGGCTTCGAGCGAGTGCTTCAAGTTTGGGCTGAAGCTTTTGGGAAATAATGTATATATATATATATAATGTTGGCACTTGATAAATAGAGGCCCCCCCCCCTGAACAATGGAGGATTTTGGGGCCCAATTCTACTTTAGTATTGCAGCCACTTCCTTTTTGCAATTCTACTTTAGTATTGCAGCCACTTCCTTTTTGCAATTCTACTTTAGTATTGCAGCCACTTCCTTTTTGCAATTCTACTTTAGTATTGCAGCCACTTCCTTTTTGCAATTCTACTTTAGTATTGCAGCCACTTCCTTTTTGCAATTCTACTTTAGTATTGCAGCCACTTCCTTTTTGCAATTCTACTTTAGTATTGCAGCCACTTCCTTTTTGCAATTCTACTTTAGTATTGCAGCCACTTCCTTTTTGCAATTCTACTTTAGTATTGCAGCCACTTCCTTTTTGCAATTCTACTTTAGTATTGCAGCCACTTCCTTTTTGCAATTGTACTTTAGTATTGCAACCACTTCTTCCTGAGCAGACTTTTGGGAACACTACTTTAGTATTGCAACCACTTCCCTTTCAGTTCTTTCTGTAGCCATTCAAAGGGGTGTGCCACCAATTGAAAGGGGATGCTTTGAAGCAAGTGGGCCACCAATTGAAAGGGGATGCTTTTAAGCAAGTTGGCGACCAATTGAAAGGGGAATGCTTTTGAGCAAAGCAACTTATAGTTTATTTTCTGGGAGGGGGGGCTGGGGGCTTGCAATTAATGTGGTCCCCTAACATAATGACATTATTGTGGTTCAGTGGGGTCTGTGAGGGGTACCCTTGTCCTGATGTGTTTTTTCCCCCCCCCTGTTTTTTTTGGGTCATTTTGTTTAACACGTTTTTTTTTTTTAAGAGTTTGCAGTTTCAGGGCTGGGGATGGTTTTCAAATTTCAGAGGTTTCAGCTGGCTTTGGGTTCTGTGGTTGAGCAACCAATTGATTTTGGGTCAACATGGATTTTGGGTGATTGTTTGGGGGGATGGTTTTTAAATTAATATTGTTGTTTTTTTGGAATTTTCCCCCCCGGGCAAAAAGCACTTTCAATTATTCTGGTCCCCCTAAACAATGGGTGCGAACCAGAATAAGGGAACAAACTTGCAATTATTGACGCCCGGTTGATTAATCAAGTGCCAACATTATATACAGAGTAATAAATTGTGTGGGATGCAACACGTGTAACAAGGCAATTACGGAATATGTACTGGCATTGCTGGGTTGTTCAACACCAATCCTCGTACACATGGCTGTGGCTCAGAATTAGACAGGAGGGGTTACGCGGGTGTTGGTCCATGTCACTTACCAAGGTTCCATTTTGGTACCAGTTGTTTAAGCCACAGCCACATCCTCCTTGCCAGGGTTATGCTTTTTAAGACTGCCTGTTGGAACAAATCGTTGAAGGGGTTCCCCCCAAAGGGTGGTTTTCCGGGTCTCCTTTTGAAGGTAGATGCACGTTTTCTTGTCGTCAAAAGGGCGCTTTGGGGCCCAGTTGGTCCCTGTTCCAAATCCCAGTTGGGTGTGGGTCAAAATTCAACCACGGACCACAGGTTTTAGTCCTTGGTTCCATTTACTAGGGCAACCCATTTTGGGGTCACCCCATTTTTGACCCACAGCCAGTTGGTCAGCATCTTCAGTTGGGTGGCCTCCCAAAAGTTGAACTGGGAACTTGAGTTGTGTTCAGCCCCTTTTCGCAACGCAGGAAGGACACCGAACACCTGGACAAGCGGTTCATTTGGGCAATAAGGATCCTTCCAATTGAACTTTTGGTAAACGCACAAAAAACGCTCTCGGAGAGGAGACGAGGTCCTATGGGACAATGCCCTGTCCAATTCAAATGGCCATCCTTTTCCATTTTTGGGCTCATTGGCTTGCAGGGGTATCGGACCTGCCTGGTTTCAATCTTGATCCTTCTGCCAGATGATACCGGTATCCCTTGTAGTGGTGCTTGGCTACGAATCAGGATGAGGGATCTCCTCTCCACGGATTTTCGATTGAATATCCCCTCATCTCATTTCACCCTGCCAGAGTGTGTCTCCCATTTTCCGGCAGAACACCCAACATGTGTTGTCATTTTTCCCTAAGCCAAACGGCTTTTCTTTGATGCCCAAAAAAAGCCCCGCAAACCACGCCCCCCCCCCCCCCCCACAGAGCTGTAAAGACCCAACGGGTCCGCGCCTGAAGCCGCGAGGGGACGCAGCGCTGGCACCGCTCAAGGCGGAGTTTGAGGCGGGGCGTGGTGCTCCGTTTCGATTCCTCGCCAGATTTTGTTCTCAAAACGTGGGCCATTGGGGGCAAAGGTGATTTTGATGATGCAAGTTTGCAAACCCAGTTTAGGCCTCGCAGTTGGAGGTAATCCCGTCTTCATGTGAAGTAGTTTTCCGTGTTGGCTTAAGGCAAACATCATCTAGGGGTTTGAAGCTGTTTCCATTTTGTTCAAGCGTCCTTCTTGTCAATCGGTCGCTTCCATCGGTTTTGTATGGATTGCCGTTCAGAATGGGAAGGTACAAAAAAGAGACGTGCCCCCCAGCGAACCCCCAAACGTGATTGCCAAGGATATCAAGCCACCGCAACTTGAAGCTCGCCACTTGCACGGGTGTTTCTCAACTGGACCCAACCCATGGCGTTTTTTCCTTTTGCTTGCCCTCAAGACACTCACCAAGGTGTCGTGTTGGTGACCCGCGGCGCGCAACGCGACCCGGGTCTCGGGTCCCCGGGGGGGCGGGGGGCAACACGCCCATTCCCGTGCACGCTCACAGCCCATGACAGACGAGAAGTAAGCACGCCCGCTCATTTGGCGCCCGCCCGCCAAATGATAAGCACACCCGGTCAAGTGTGTCCGCAGCATCCGAAGCATGAGGGGCGGATTCACTGGCTGGGTTTTTGGGGCAAAGCGTCAATATGTACGGCATTTTTCCTGGAGATGTCCAAGCCATGTACCGTAAGACCGATTCACGTTTTCTTTGGAGTGACAGAATCACATTGCTTTTGCCCTGCCGCAATGTTTTCAACGGCGGGGCCACAATTTGTTCGAAGATCATCCATGAAAGACGGGACCAGCCAGGTCATCCTGTTTGACTCACTTCCCGAGTTCCTTGACTTTGAACTTGTTAGAATTATAGTCATAGTATGTTACTTGTTCTGACGAATCCGCCCAACTGAGAAAATGCTGGGTTGCCATGAACATCGTGAAGTGGGTGTCTCTTAAAATAGGACCCACCCCAAACTGGTTGTTTTCCTTTTGGTTTCCCTCGAAAACCGTGGCCCTTCCCAGCTGTCCCCCCAGGTTTTTTGAGGTTTTAGTTGGCTTAGTGGCAGCTTCCGAACTCAACCGACAAGTTCTTCCACTTTTTGCTGGGCTGGAGAAAACGGGTTTCTTCAGTGTTTATAGTTTCCATGTCACCCACAAGTTCTTCCACTTTTTGTGGGGCGGGGTCCGAAAACGGTTTTCTTCAGAGGTGGTTTCCGCACTTAACCCATAAGCGGTTCACTTTTGGCGGGTCCGAAAACGGAGCGCAGGACAGAAACCGCGGCGCCCGTTTCAGGCGCTGCAGGGGGACCCGCTGCGGCCATGCCTGGCCTTGCGCTCGCCGGAGGGAAGGCGAGCCGGCGGTCCGTCGTGGGCCTTGTTCATGGGGGCTGGGGGGGAGAGAGGGGGGGGGGATGGAGCCCAAATAAGCCCTAAGTAAGGCCTTATGAAGGGCTTAATAAGGGCTTCTTTGGGCTCCCTCCCCCTCTTCCTCCCTCTCCCCCAGCCCCCATGACTTGTTGGTTTTGAAAGGACTGTATCACTACTGGACATGTTCTTATATATATATATATATATATATTTTTTCCAGGGGTCTTAAGCAAATGGAAGTCTCCCAAATGACATAATTTCGGGTGTGGGGCACAGTTTAGAGGGTCCCCCCTTGTTTTTTTGGGGGTGACGAGATTCCGGGGGTAGGGGGGCAGAAGTGTTTTTGCCCCAAAGCCATAAATGGGTTTGCCCAACTTGTTAACTGGTTGTTGGCACTTCTTTGAATTGTTTGCAAGGAACCCTCAAGGGAGAACACTCAGGGAGCAAGCAAGCAAGGCGCAAGCGAGTAGGGCTGGGCTATTTGACCGCTCGAGCAAACGCGCTCACATCGATGCGAGGTGTCCAAGACCTGCTCGGATGAATCCCCTTTTCCGGGCTGAGAAGGGGACTTTCCAAGCGGTATTTCTCACCTCGTCTCAAAATCGAAGATGCCAACTTGAAGATTCAACAAGCTAGCAAGCGGGGGCTTGCCTCATTTTCGAGCCGCTTCCGGCCCAGGTCGATCTGGTCGACCTGGGCAGGTGAGGGTTTCAACTCAAAGGTCATGCGTCGCTGGCTCATTTGGCAGGCTCAAGACGCATCGAACCCATTTCCGAGGCAAGCTCATGTCTTTGCGGTCGGTGATTGCGATGGTATTGTGGGCAGCCGCACTGGCAGGACTCTGGGGGAAAGTCCATCTCTGTGCGTGTGTTTGGTTTTTTGAGGGTGCCCTTGTTGTGGTGGTGTTCAAGGGGAACCAAAAGCACAACCACCAGTTTGGGGGGCCCCTCCTATTTTGGCACAGCCCCAACTTGTTACCTCCAACAGACCTGGTTTCCGGTGTTGGACCCCTGGAGGCTTGTTGGATACGGAGGCAGTCATCGATGCATTGGCCGGAACGCATGCCCAGAGGGACTATGACACCTTGAAGCGCATCGAGGACGAGGTGCAGAGCACCGTGGATGCGCCCACGGAAATGGATTACTTCAGGGCCATTGTGAATGACCAGGACTATCAGAACAATCTCTGGGAAGATGTGTGGGATATGACGCATCCCTGAAGTCTCCGAAAACATCTTCGGATTGGCCTCGAACGCGCGCCCGCATTTCTAGGGTTGCTTGAGGACAGACCTTGACATTTGCGCGGTGCAAAAAGGAGCCACGGCCGTGATCCAAGAGTGCCTGTCATCGCAAGGGTTCTTTGTCTAATGCAGCTTTTTGATTTAAGTAGCAGCCAGATATGTAGGCGGGTAAGGTTGGGGTTCTTGTGCGGTTCAGGCGCGGCGCAACTGTCCGGAGGATGGGCCCCTGGCCTCAAAAGACGATGTTCCGGCGGCAATTGCTCCATCTTCGGATTCTGGACGTTTCCAACCCCTGCCAATCGCCCTGGTTTTAGCCGCTAGCTTTGTGAGAACTCCAACAACAGGCCCCATTTTTCCGAGGAGTGTGTTCCGGAAGCCGCTCCTTCGCCCAAACATGGCTGTGGGTGAGAACCAAGGGGATCCCATTTTGGGGTTTTCGGTGCACCCATTTTAGTCTATGGTTGGGATGTGAAAACGAATTGGGGCACGATTTGGGTTTTGAATTGCCCAGGGCCAAATAAGCCACGGCGGGGCTCCGTCGGCGCAGGTGGGCCATCCGGCTGCTGCCCAGCTACGCGGCGGAGCTCTGGCCGGCGCGGGTGCTGGCGCCTGCCGAAGCCTCGGGCGATTCGAGGGATGTGAGAGAGGCCAGTCCAGGGGTTGATTCCAACCATTATTTCTTTGCTTCCAAGTTCTTTTGTTCGAACCAAGTCCATTCTTTGGTTGATTCCTTGGCCATTCCTTTCAACCATCGTTCTTTTCAAAAACCAGATCTGTTTCCCCTGGGTTTTGGATGGTTTCCTGAAAAGAAGGATCCCTGGAATGACTGGGGAAGGTACCCCTAGAACTCCCAACAAGTCGGTGGGTTCCTTTTTCTCCTTTGCTTTTCAAATCCATTGAAGAATAGCATAGGTTTGATCAACCGCGCCTTCCCTGGAACATCTCTTTTTGGGGCTCCCATAATTTCGCGGTAGACAAGATGTCCCGATTTTCAGGAAGCAAGAAGTGCGGCGTTGCCGGCCCAGGAAGCGAGGGCGTCCTTGAGGGTCCACGTTTTGTCCCAAGCCCGCGAGACGTAACCCAGTTCAAGTCTACGTTGAAATGTCCTCAACAAATGTAACCACCACGTTTGCTCCTTCACGCCCTATGTTCGAGGCACCAAACCAAGTGAATTCGCTGGGGTAAATCGGTTCACTCTATTATTTTTTGCAAGGTACTTCTTGTTTGGTGGCTTTAAAAGGAAACCAACAGGAAACCCTCAAAAAGTAGTGGGCCCTTTTTTCCTGGTATCGCAGACCACAACAGGCATCACTGACTTGGGATTTTCCGGGATCCTGCCAAACCATGGGCACTGTTTGCCAAAATGTTGGAGGAGTTTCACAGGATTCTGGATGACCGAACCTGATGGTATATACGTGGTGAAAGTGCATGGCACAAATGACTAAACCACAACTAGGTTCCCCCAGTAGCTCCCTTTTACCCTCTTCTTTTTTGGGAGGGTTCCCCTACTAAAATCGACTACAGAAAAAATCGGGTACCCTTATTCTAACCTCTCTACTGGAGGACCTAGACAATGGGGGGAGGGTGGTGCCATCTGCCCTTTCACCCCCCTTTCGTGTGCCTTTGTCAGGGCTGCCAAATTTAGCCCGTCCTTGACCGGGATCTCGGAGCAACACTGCGGACGTTTCTTTTGGTTCTGACAGGTCAACGATCTGCACACGACTGCGATCTTGGGTTCTTGTTGGTCTGTCCTTGAGCCCATGGCCGTCTGGGAAGAGGGCAGCGGGAGTTTTTCGACTTCTTCCATTTGCTTAGGAATATGTGTTATTTTCCCCTGTTGGTTTTAATGGGAATCTACCACTATTGGACATATTTTTTCCAGGGGGCTTAGGCAAATGGAAGACTTGTTGCAAGGGGTCAACGACCATCACAAGTCCTTTGCTGAGTGATGCTGCTTTTTGTTTTCCATGTCTATTTGCTCAGTTTCCCTGGCGTGCTCAGTGCGCAGCCCAGGCATTGGGTCCTTAGGTTAGTGTGGTTAAAGATAAGATGGGTTCCACTGGCTTAGCTGGGGTTTCCATTTGCCAGGGCCATCGATTTTTGCAAAGGCCACCTATGAGCCCAGTGGTTCCCATGACGCCCGGTGCGCCCTCGACGTTGCGCTGAGGATCGGAACGCCGTGCGGCCAGAGGGTGACAAGAAGGCGCAGAAGCCCACTGCCCAGTACAACAGCTGCGCGCCCCGGCGGCTTTTGGATGCGGCGACGGGGGCATAGAACTGCTTTAGCCTTGTTTTCTATCTCTGGCCTTCCCCAGGGCAATATACATATATTAATAGATAGACGTATGTATTTGTGTTGCAGCTCATGAGCTCATGAGCTCATCCTTGGTGTTGCAGCTGGGTGTTTTCTCTTGTGCTTTGAATGGATCTAAGAGATGACGGGCGTTTCCAGAAAGAGGTCTCCGTTTGGGAAAATGAAGATGTGGATGTGAGCAACTGAACTATTCTTGGCGGTGTAGTGTGACTGTGCGGCGGACAGGGCGGACATAGGGCCCCACCCAAATTCTCTGTAAAACCCAGGCAGCTTTCCATGAACAGCAAATTTTGGCGACAGCTTAGGTATACCAAGGGGAATTACCCCTTATGACTTCCAGGGAAACAAGCCGGGACGGGGCCTGCTGGGTCGCATTGAGATGGGGGGGCCCAATGGGGTCAGGTGCTGGAAGATGCGCGCATGCGCCCTTGCCTCAGCAGAACGGCTCATGACCGCTGAGATCGTTTGATATGTGTTGCCTCACTGTTCTTTTTGCAAGATATGCATGTGGCAAAGACAGAGTCGTAGATGCCAGTTCTTAGCACAGGTTTTTCTTTAGTGTACTTTTTTCGCGCTTTTGGTTTTTGTTCGTTTGCAAGCTGAGGACAAGTGCTTGGCCCATACCAGGGGTTGGAAAGGTTGCATTGCCCTTTGCCACACTGCTACTAACGGGAACCTCGGATCAATAACTCTTGGGATACGAAGAGGGCGTGGTGTCCCCTTTCAGTGGTTCATCACTTTTGGAGGGGACACCTGGCCGGTTTTTGAAGCCGGGGGCAATGTTCCCTTTTTTGGAGACCCTCCAAAATGGCGGGTTTCCTTTTTTCCTTCTTTTTGGTCTTAACGGCAAACGATCCGCTTTGTTCGGCACATCTCCTTCAAGGCGGACCATTTTTTTGCGGGAGTTCTGTTGGTGGTGATTCATCTCCTTTCCTCTCACCAAAGCCTTCGAAGCAAAGGGGCCAGTTAATTTTGCAGAGGTGTAATTCGTTGAGGGTCACTCCCTGAGTTCCTGGACTTTATTCACTTTCTGGGTTTGGACCAGTGTAGTGGTAAACACAAAGTATGGTGACTTTTCTTTGTTGCCAATCCACTCCACTGCGGAAGTGAGGTCTTGCCTCAAAATGTTGAAATCAAACCACGGTGGGTCTTTTTTGAGGGTACCCGTTTGTCTGGTTTTAGTGGGACTTGCAAAAGCACACAAACCGTTTTGGGGGTGGCCTAGACACAACACACCCAAATTGTAAGAGTGTCGGCGGCTATGAGGGCCCCCGTTTTTGCATTTGTTTTTAAAAAGATACGAGTTGTTGACCTTCTGTAGAACGATGGTGTGCACGTGTGTGATCTAGTACTGAAGGTGCCTTTTCTTGGTTCTCAGAGGATGCTTGACATAGCAATTTCACGGGCTGACTCCAAGAACTCTTCCAGGCAAAGGATAACCGCCATCATTCAAATGTTACAGGGTGCATTGACCAACAAGACTTGAAAATCGTCAGTCGTCATGCCCGAACTGTTAACCATGGCTTGTTCAAAGGATTGTGGGCTTGCCTGCCTTTCCAAATTTTGACTGCCAGCAGTTCATATGGACATTTCTGGGGAGAGAGCGCTCCAAACACAGACAAGCCGGATGAGCGGCCCTGATTTCGAGCCACCAAGCATAGGTCACTACTTCTGGGTTTCAGACTCTTTCTGGATCAGAAACATTTGCTGGAACCATCAGAAGGATTTCCACCTTGCACGCCTGTAGCTCACAAGGGGTCAGTGGAGTTCCAGGCTGCAAGTTGTGAGGATCCCTCCCCCAGCTCGTGAAAGAAATACTTACCATAGGCGAGCCCAAGCATTTTGCCTGAGCTAGAGGATTGAACCTTGGCGGATTGCTGGTCGCTTGGCTCCTTTATGAGGTAGCTTATTGTCCTCCCCTCGATATGCTGAAATACTTGCAGACTGGTCATTTTGCAAGATCAGGAAATGTGGAGAGCAGTGGGCAGGAAATTCTACGTCGTAGGGATAGGTTCTCTAGATCCTATGCTTGCTGGTGGCATGCAAAAGCTGGCATGGAAGGGGGTAAGAGAGCAACTTATTCTACTTGCGCCCTCCATAGGTTACCAAAACATTTGCATATAAGTAGATACCTTCTGGTCAACCGCCAAAAACAAC